CACTTCTACTAGACATATATATTTATATAGTGGCCAATACTAGATCCAACGAAAACAAAAAATATTAAATATTTCATTTATAAACGCATTTTGGTGTAGATGGAGAGCCAAGAGTGTCAAAGGATATGATCGAGGTGATAGATGTGGAGAAGAATGTGATTCAGTTGAGGGTGTTAGAGGGACCTCTGATGAAAGAGTACAAGAGCTTCTTGAAAACTATGAAAGTGATGAGCCCTAAGCATGGAGGGACTGGAAGTGTGGTGAAGTGGAACATGAAGTATGAGAGGATTGATCAGAAGGTGGATCACCCAAAGAGGCTTCTCCAGTTCTTCGTCGAAGTGACTAAAGAGATTGACCAATACCTCTTGTCTAATGATTAATTAAGGGACTCTTCTGCTTGGCTTCTGTATGGAAGAGTTTTATATGCGTGAGGACTCTTGTGTTTTGTATGTCTTTCTCGATAATGTTATTGCTTTAGATGTATAAAAGATGGCTGCAAGTGTGCATTACGCTTTAAGTTGCTAGTCGTAACATTTTGAATAAGCTCTGAGCTCCTCGTATTTGTATGTACATGTTTTGATATGTATGTTGTGTTTATTATTCATAAAATCATATCATAATATAGTTCAAGCCTTATTAAGAAAAAAGTGAGATTTTCCAATTTTATTATCTCACCTGATATAATAAAATGACATGTTATTAGAGTTTTTTTCCAATGAGTAATAAATTAAAGTGAATTTGTGATATAATCTTAAATGAGACTATAATGAAGTATATAGCACTTTAATGAACCAAATTCAACAAGTAACTATCTCAACTGAAATGAGAAAAACGTTATCCAAGCTGACACACAAGGAAAATTCCAAGACCTAACATGATCTTGTCTCCTTTTTTTTTTGGTTCAACAACTTGTCTCCTTTGTTTTCTTCTCTTTTTTCTTTGTAAAATATAACTTAACAAAGACGATCATTGGTGTTAAAAAAAAAAAAAAAAAAACAAAGACGATCATTTCTTACAAAAAGAAAAAGAAAGACAATGACTCGAACATTCATGTAGAACTATAATTCACTATCTTGATGATCTGAATCTCTTATGACAGAACTTAGCAGCTTTAATTGGTGCTTTCAACTATTTTTCTCATACTACATCGACACCATTATCACCAATCTCTCAAACTTTTACACAACTTCCCAATGAAAAAATTGCAGCCAGTATCATATTTGTTTCAGGGCGAAGACATCAACAAGGACATTCGACTTTTTCGATTGATAGAATATCACACAATCATAGTCGTTTAACCACCCAATGCATTCCTCTCTCTTAGATTCAACTTTTCTTCTTAATAACTTTTTTCAACTCTTGTGAACCTTAAATTTCTGCACATTTTTATCTAACATATACTTATGCCACAATTTAAGCGTACAACTAATATAACCAACACAAAGTCATGCCCAGCGTAGTTGACCTCATGCTTATGCTCAGCTCCACATATCACTACAAGAAAATTGTGATATTGCAACATAGAAAATTATTGCAATAAATCAATATATCGTTGCGAATAATAGAATTGCAACAAAATTACGACCAACTGCATCTCGTTGCTGATTGAGCGTTGCAAATTCGTGTTCGTCGCACATACGTTACAAAATTTGCAATGAATTAATTTCTCGCTAAATATGTTGTATTAATGCAACGACATTTTTGTAATAAATTGGTCGTAAAATTACAACGTATGTTTGCAACTTTGAATTGTCGTAAATCATTGCCATGGAAAACATATAGCAAATAACCGTAGCAAATTTGTGATAACTAATTTGCTAGATACTTTCGTTGCATAAATTTTGTTACGATGACCAAAACAAAATTCATCGTAAGTATTGTCACATACAACTAATATTTAGCATTGTTATGACATTGTCATCAAAAAGCAAATCGGTTATGACATCGATCGGAGGATACGCCGTTCTTGAGTATCTTGCCGCCGTTCATGGTGGTGTCTTATACCTAACAATAACTATGTCTTATTCTAACTAAGAAGTCTAATCTACGGAAGCTTAATTTTTTGTTGGGCTTGCTAGCTAGTGTAGGAAACTCAAGCTTTTATCTTAGCTTCGATGAATTTGATGGCTTAGAAAGTTGTTAAGATACCATTACCTAATCATAAGATTTTAAGATCTTATATTCTAAGTAAAATGGAAAAAGGCATATACATATATATAACAATAAAACGATATAATATCTAATTTGTTAAGAGAATCATATCCCAAAATCTGGAGTTATACAATGATTTGACGTCAATGAAAAAAAAAATGCCAAATTATCACATCTTTGAGCTCATTGACCCTAAAAATTAACTGAATCACCTATAGTTTAATTATGTTTTGCTATTAAGTGAGCTACAAAGATTCGATAATGTAGTTTCAAAGTTTGTGTATAAAGTAAATGTTGCAAAAGTGTTACTTAAATTATTGCAAATATAGTTACAAATCATGTGTCACATACTTGTACTATAATTTTTTTGCAAAAAAACAATGAATCACTATCATTAGATGTTTCTCGTGAAATTTGCAAGAAAGTTTATACACGTTGTAAAAAAATTGCAATTTAGTAACGAAAATTTCCTACAAAAATATGTGTCTTAATTTTACAATGAATTTACAATAAAATTGTGACATGTATTTATCATTGCAAAAGTATTGCAAAATTTATTGCAGAATTTTAACGAAAAAGAACGTTACAAAAAATATGTTGCAAAATCACTATTTTCTTGTAGTGTATATTTTCTTCTGTCATCAACCTACGAAGTATCAACGCTACATGCTTAACATGCCTTTTCCTTTATTAAATAAACCATGATGTCACCAATAAAAAATGAAAAATTATTTCAAATGCAATTTAAAGAGTTGATTTACTACATCCAACCACTACTGTTTTGCGAGATCTGTATTATTCTCTTTTATAGAGTGTCTGTCTCTCTAATCATTTTAACTCATTTGTCGTCCTCTATTTTGTATTTTTGATGGATTAATTCTTTTAAGTATTAAATTTGAATTGGCAACAAACCAAAAAAAAAAAATACAGATTAGAAAATAAAAATTAGATAAATTTCTTCATCAAAAAAAAAAATGGCTGTTTCCACTTAATTAATGACTGCTTCGATCTTTAGCATAGTACACTAAGCCTAGCATATAATTTTTCTTCTCTCAACTTATGAAATATCAACGTTAAATGATTAACATGCTCTTTGGAATTTGTCATTGTCATCTATAAACAGTGAGAATTATTTCAAATGCATTCTAAACATTCGATTCACCAAACCCAAACATTAATTACGTTTTAGCTTACTGCTAACCAAACCAAATTTGTATATATTTATGCATGGTATTAGCTATTAGGTATGCCCATCCCGTTTAGCAGATTTGTAATAGTATATCTTTTTTTATGTGTTTCTCTAGTCCTTTATGGTTGTTTTATTACCCTTTAGTAAATTCTTAACTCTTTTGTCGTGTGATATGGCGAGTGGCCCCAATTGAAAGATGTTTCTTTGAAAGGTAATTAGACCACGTGAACTCGTGTACCGGCCCCGACCCATCAATCTCCGATCAACTTCATAAGAAATATTTATTATAGTATATGAATTGTGTTTATTTTAAGGCTGTTATTTTAACCATACCTAAAGCTATTTCATTTATTGGTTAATTTGTATACGAGTAGCTACACCTGCTTCAACCATTTTAACCACGATTTATTTTCTTGTCTCATTCATTTCTATTATATAATATAAGAAGAAATACAAATGTTTTTTTTTTTTTTGATAAATCCTATCGGCTATCCGGTCAGCCCCGGTAGGAACGCACTGAGGTGCTACATAGTGGACTGGTCCACCGTGTTAACGGCTAGGCCCTTCGGGCTACCACTCTGCCTATCCCGAGTTTGGAATGCCTTCCGACTAAGTGCCAGGGGTAGTCAGGCCGCCTGCATTTCTGACTACGAGGTAAACCAATTGGGCCAAAGCCCAACTGACAGACTACCCACAATAATGTTGATAACAGCAGGTGGAGTAGAAGCCGGGGTGGAGGGAATTTCACCCAAACAACCAGGGCCCACCAACCACTCGCCCACCACCATGTAGGTTAAATACAAATATAGACTACAATTTTAATACATAAAACAGGCAAAAAAATCCGAAATATACACGAAACTAAACCCTAAAAAAGAAACAAAAGAACATATCGAGAATCATAACATAGAAAAGACGAAACAAAATGCATCGATTAAAAACAAAATCTCTGTGAATAAGACTTACCAACCAAACTCCCCAAAACCAAGATGATCAAAACCAATCCTTACAACCACCTGAGAAGCGAAATCTCCTATCTCAAAACAAGACTACCTCCCAAACGAAACGAACCAATTTTATGAAACATAGTATTTTTCACTGACCTATATAATTAGTTAAAATATATATATACTTTATGATTTACAATATGAAAAATGACTTTTGAAATTAATTTTATTATCTTTTTTCGTCATTTGGGTAAATAAAAACCGACCCATAGCCAAAATCCAGCAAAGGGGTGACGCTATAGAGTGGAACTCCGGTGGCAAAAACCGCAAAGGTGGACAGTAAAACACTTGATTAAAGATACCTTCTAGGCAACATAATTTAATGTGTTATACCAACTAAAAAGTTTTAATTAGTATGTCAATTAGAGTTTTAATTCTCATACCACTCTAATGAAAATTATGATGTGGTATACATTATATATGATGTGATGTCAACATCTAAGAGAGTAAAACTAATTTTATGTATATAGATGATATGTCCTTTTTGGCTGAGATGGCACCATGGGATCACAAGATTGCTTTTTTTTTATATATATATAGAAGACATTGTCCTAAATACTATAATACCTATTACATTCTTTTACAATATATTTATGGTGATCATTGAAACTAATTTTCACAAACGGAACAAAGAGTGGTCAACTACTCATCACATAAAAAAGGGCAATGTTTCAAGCTACCGGCATGGCGGCTCCGGTTATGCATGTGGTGTTTCCCTGTTCTTGGAGGCGACGGCATGTCCTGCCTCTCCGGAGCGCAAAAACCTTTAAACCCCGTGCATGTCTTGAACTGAGAGGAAGCAAAGGGTACACATACATATATATATCTCCCTAATTTCAATTCATAAGAGCTCAGTGATCTTATGGTAACCGAGGTACTATTACCGTATGTTGATAGTCGGGTATTATTGCTACTTAAGGCATCTATTCCGTGCCTTAGTTACTAAAAAATAAACAATGCCCTTTTTCTAAGAAATTTGAGAGGCCATTATTTAAATAGTAACTAATTTGAGGGACTGATCTAATATTTCTGATTCATAATCTAATTGAAATTTCCATATGGCAGAATGAGTGGGTTCCATGAGATTGAACTTAAAGTTCGCGATTATGAATTGGATCAGTTTGGTGTTGTGAACAATGCTGTTTACGCAAACTACTGCCAACACGGTTAGTTTGCTTTAGTTACAAATGTTGTGCAGCTTCAAATTATTATAAACCCTCGATTAAAGTCGAGACATATGCTAACATTAGAGCTATGTCCCATTCTTACCAAATATGGTTTGTTAAACTTGTTTTCATACAAAGGTCGACACGAGTTTATGGATAGTATCGGTATCAATTGTAATGAAGTTTACCGTTCTGGTGGAGCCTTGGCAATTCCTGAGTTGACAATAAAGTTCCTCGCACCTTTACGTGTAATTTTTACTCTCTTTTCCAAGAATATTTGTTCTATTTTATAGAGTTAATGTTTTGCATTTTTAGTTGATATCTTTGTGCAGAGTGGATGCAGGTTTGTGGTGAAAACGAGGATATCGGGGATATCTGTGGCGCGCATTTACTTTGAACAGTTCATCTTTAACCTTCCAAATCAAGAGGTTGGTTTCATTAAGCCTCGTTAAGCCTTTGTGTTGGTTTTTTACTCGTATTTTGATTTGGATCCTTTTGGTATGTAATTGAAAAAACAGCCTATTTTGGAGGCAAAAGGAACAGCTGTGTGGCTTGACAACAAGTACCGCCCTGTTCGTGTCCCATCTCAAGTACGCTCATATTGTGGTCACTTCCAACGCCAACACGTTGTCGATTGATCCCACATTCTAAGGCTGCCCAAAGTATCCATTATACTCCTTTGGTTTATTAGCTATTTTTATTTGATACATAAAACAATCAAGATATCCATAATTTTACGGAGCATAACAAATATCGAAACTTTGTATCCAATTAAAAAAAAATAACATATATACTAAAAGTTGTAGAGAAAGGATACATGTACCACGCTGGTATGTATATATGTGTATACATATTAGATCTATTGAAATTGTATAGTTATTATATCTATGTATAAATTTTATGAATTTGTGTTCATCACATTAATCATTAAAGTTTTAACAATTTACAAACCAAGAAAGAAAAATATTTTCTCTATGAATATATCTCTTCTGTTTGTTAAATTTTCACATTTTCTATATATTTCAATTATCTTAAAAATCTTACGGAGCAGTTAATTTTCGTCAAAATATTCAGATTTTAACCGAAATCCAGTTAGTTGCAGAGCGGATACGAATAAACAAAATTAAACACAAATTCAGGATATCCGTTTTATTTATCTACACAAATTCAGGATATCCAGTTAGTTGCAGAGCGGATACGAATAAACAAAATTAAACACAAAATTATTGAAATTGTATAGTTATTAACTCTATTATTAATAAAGTTAAATTTAAATGTTAATCAAAAATAAACTTTAAGAATAAATTAGTGAAAACGATCTAACCTCGTTTTACTTTTTCATTTAAGGAATCAATGATTCAATGTTTACACTGTGGTATATACACCTTTCATCGAATTCCTACAATATAATTGAAAACAGATGAAACATTGATATAATATACAAATTAAATATCAAATTTGCCTCCAAAGTAAAGTAACAATATTAGATACGCTGACCTCTTGAACAACTTTTGTCCCTCAATTTCAATTGGACATAACAGAATACATCTGATGAGATTTTGTGGATCCAATGTTGTTGTTTTACATCTACACTCTTCACCCACTTGTCATTGCCGATAGTTCCATCTATAACTTTCATTAATTAGTGCTTCAAGACATTACCATTGTCGACGATTTTCTATCGTCAAGAGAAATTGAGTTATAAATAATTGAGGATATGGAAGGATTATGGATGAGCAACTTACCCGGTTTCGATAACAAATGCATCATGGCCTACTTTTGATCTGAGAGAAATGGATCATTGTTGTGGAATTTTTTGTTTAGAGGCGGATAATTGAGATCTGTAATATATATTGATTAATTGCTTAAATTTTAAAAAACTGAAAGAGGTTGTGAAAGAGATCGTGGTTTCGTGAAAAAAGAATATATTAAATTAGATTATATTGTTCTTTATATAATTAATTCCTTAGGAGAAATAAACTAAAATTTCATAATTGCCAAATTAAAAGACTTTCGAGAAATAGTTCTTAAAATATTTTCAAACATTTATGGCGTAAAACAAAAATTCGCAGTAAACAAATTGAGAGTGGTTTTCGGAGCGAGAGATGTGTGGTGTAGTGTAAGAAAAAGAAAATTTAGGGATTTTTATAGCATAAAAAGTTTTGAAAAATATTTTAAAAATTAAGAAACTGGAAAATCTCTTATTTGATGAAGTTGTCTCACGTACTCACGTTCTCAAATTTTGTTAATTATTTTCTAAATTATAAAATAGAAATCTATGTGGCAAAATTTGATTAGTCAAGTGACTTATGTTTTATAATATAAAAGATGTGTATATCTCATTTATCCACTAAATTTATATTTTTCATGTAAACAAATAGGTTTTTATAGCATAATTTGGTGCGTTAAATATTTTTATATATATATATATATATATATATATCCATCGATGAGAATACCAAATATTTCTATTTGAAATGTAGATTCAACAAAATAATTATCCGTATTCTATAACAATTAAGTAAACTAATTGTTCACTTAAGAGTTTAACCGATTTTATTAGAATGAACAGTTGAACACATAGATGTCATGCACCTACTGTGCAAAAGCTAGCAACAAAAAATTCTTTGTTTTGACTTTTAATTTTTTAGCCAAAAAAAAAACAAGTGTTTTATCCAAACCAATTATGATGACTTTTTCGTATGCCTTTGTTTAATGAGAGACTCACAAAAATGCCTATTTTTCAATACACTTTTTCAAAAATACCCCTTTTTAAAAACCTTATAAAAAATGCTCTTAAAAATATAAGATTTACCCAAATATGTATGTAATATTATTAAAACATACACAAACTACATTTCTATGTCTCTAAAATCTTATAAATACTTTATAAATACCTTATAAATGCATTTTAAATACCTTTAAAAACCCATTAAAATATCTTGTAAAACCTTTGAAAAACCTTAAAAATCCTTTAAAATAACTTGTAAAACCTTTAAAAACACCTTATAAAACCTTATAAATACTTGGATCGAGTCTTCAAGTAGTAGTTACAATCCATAAGTACCTTATAAACCTAATAAAACTTTATAAAAATTTCAGATTTAAAAAGGGGCATTTTTGAAAAGGGACACACCAAAAGGGGTATTTTTAACAATTTCTCTTGTTTAATTAAACATTAGAAGGAAACGAATATAATTTTTATTTTATTTAATTAACTCATATCAATATAAAAAATTTAGTTCGCAACTTTTTTTTCCATCATCTTACATATTTTTGTTTATTCCAAAAAAAGTATTTTACATTCTTATAACTATAGTCTCGAACTAGTACGAAAGGGTCAAATGTTTTGACTAATAGGGGAGACGAAGACAATAAGAGAAGAACTAGATAACAACCCGCACTATGTGCGGGATGAAGTGATTCAAGTAAAATTATTATGATTAAAATTTTTATACAGGATCCAAGATCCGTTTGTGTAAAACAAAACATGTAATAATTTTTTTATTTTCTTTTAATTCAAATTTGGGACTATTTCGTATATGAATACGTTTTACCCGTGAAATATTTGAACCTGGAATAAAGCTTCAACGTGATAAAGAAAGTATTGACGAAATGTTACCATTTATGCTAATATGCCTTTCTATACGTTTTAAAGATGTCGAGAATGATAAAAAAAAAAAAAAAAGATGTCGAGATTTAAGTATAAGAAATCTAAAAATTTATCAAAGATGAGATTCGATAGTTTTCAAGTTAAGATTTTGTAGTGTTCCAAATTATGATTCTTAGATTATGAATGGATTACTACGAAATAGTTATAATGTGGCCAGATTTTAGTTTATAATTTCTTCGAAAAGTTAGAATCCCTAAAAAAAAATCGGATTTTAAGTATCGTAACATATATTGAAAAGAGATTATCTTAAGTATTTAAGTACAATAGATATATAAATTTATGAAAGATGTAGAGATTTTGTAGTTTTGAATTCGAGATTCTTGAACCAAATATATATACTTTATTATTTAAATATAAACATAAGTATAGATATAAATTAAATACAAAGATTGTTTATCCATCGGCTTGAGAAGATTTATATAAATGTATATAAAGAAAAATATAAATATAAAAATTTATTAATATAAGATAAACAAAAAGTATATGTTTTTTAATTATTAAAAAATAGATCATTAATATAAATAAACAAAGCTCTCGTGAATTTTTGTTAAATATAAATATGAATATTAGTTGCCTAATTATTTGTTTTTTAGTTATAATTTCGTTTTTTTATTTGTGTGATATATGTATGTATTAAGACTAATGGCAAAATCTGTAAATAGTCTAGTAAAATTTTGGTAATAATTTAAATGGGTGGAAAATCACTCTGAAAGCGACACGTCAGCATGGCAGTTTAGTTAATAACACGTCAAAATAAGGTTTATTTTTTAGAGTGCTTCTCTATTAATATATAAGGGATCGGTCCGACACCGGCGAATTTAAACATTACACGACAACAAATGCTCCATTCTAGAAGCCAAACGCGTCGCTACTCACTTCACTTTCCTTAATCTCTTTCATTAACCACTTTTACTAACATCAGCCACCAATTTCGCTTCTAATTTCAAGTAAATTACATTGAATTCAATTAACCACGAATTATTCAAGAATGCTAATAATCAAGGAAATTATAAGAACTTGTAACAAATATAACACCAACAGTAACGATAATAAGCATCATATAAACTAGAGAGAATCAGAAATGGAATCTCTAAAACACTATAAATTACATAATTAATGAAAAAGAAACAAAAGGACAAAGAATGAACCCAAAAATAATTCCCAGTGAGATCTATTCAATGGGTCAAAAGCATCTACAGAAAAAAAGCGGCGATCACGGCAACTCCGGCGAAAGTTCCGACGATGGAGACTCTGCTCACTGAAGCGGCGTTTGGAGAGCCACTTGGGGGAGACTGAGCAGGTCCAGCTTCACCAGAGGGAACAGTTGTGCCAGGAGATCCTGCAGGGGAAGCAGACGTAGGAGGAGCTGGTGGAGATTCAGTCGGCGGCTGCCTAACCGGAGGAGCGGTGGTAGGAGCTGAGGAAGGAGGATTGGCTGATGGTGAAGGTGCTGGTGCGGTGGCTCTAGGAGATTGAGACGGTGGAGGAGTGGCGGGAAGGGGAGATATGGTTGGAGCTGGTCCCGGAGCTTGGGCAACGACGGAGGAGGCCACGAGAGCGAGGAAGAGGAAAACGACGACGGATTTGGAGGCCATTGTTAGTTGTTAGTTACGTAGTTTTGTGAGGGTTTAAGAGATAAAAGTTGGGTTTATTATATAGGGGAGGGTTCGGTGTAAAACCTCTGTTTCTTGGAAATTACAATTTACAACAACTTGTATAAAATTCTAACAAGTCAAATATAAATATCTACTTTTGAAACTAAGTCCAACATAATTGTCATTTTGGAAATAAGCCTAACAAAATAACTAAGAATGATAAATATTTCCAATGATGATTTTTTTGGGGTGTTAAATTCAATGATGATTTGAAACCTGACATTTCTTTCCAAAAGGATAAGGTATAGAATATTTGTTTGCAAATTTATCATTGTAATTTTGTTTTCTCTATGTAATATGGTACTTTTATTAAAATATCCACTGTCGATTTATTACCCTTTTTCATGGACTCAAATGACAAAGTGTAACGTTGTTTCTGGTTTTCTCATTAAGCGACACGATAGTGACAAAAATAATTTTTTGAATTTTTTTAGAGTTGAGGTCGAAAAAAGCATTGTATATTTGTTGAGGTATAAAAACGCACTTTGCAATTTGTTCGAGTTGAAATATGCCCTTTTCCCGATGATACACTGTTCTTGCTTTGGGAATCAATGAAGGAAATATTTGATACAATAAATACAAATGGGGCAAAAGAGATAGAATAAAGAAGTTAAGGACTCATCTTCAATAGCAACATTAAGGTGGACACCTGTACACATCAAATGAGGCCAGAGATAAAATCTGAACCGTTGGATGGACTTAGTGAGTCTTCGCCGACCCCAACAAGAACAACGCGTTGTTTCCAAAAAAGTCTAGAGGAATGGGCGGCGTTCCAAAGCTGGCAGACTTTTATTTATATCCTTAACAAATACAATCCTATGGAAGTAGCTTCGATAAAGATCACATGAGATCATAAGATTAAGCTTTCGAGATTAAACTAATTTTTATACTCATGGACCAAAAATTCCACTTACCCTTCTGATTATATCACGTGGCCGTTTATTATTTCATAACAATATTATTTCACTCTGAGTGAAAGCATTCTATTTACTTGTCCAGCATTTTAGCCTTCTTATGAGATGGGAGAGTAATACTAATTTAGATTTTACCCTATTAGTTCCTATAATCTATTGTTTAAGAAAATACAGTGATCAATTTTGGATGAACTTTTCTTGTATAGAGAGAACCAGCCTTACCAGAGTATTTAATGGAATGCAGCTATTCTTAGAATGTCTTTTATCTCTTTTCTTTTCAAACTTTCAATAATTTGAACATCATATGCCTTTGTTGTTATCGCAATTTTTTTTAAAAGAAATTTTCCAATACACTTTTGGTGTCAATTAGGGACATAAACCTACATATTGAATATAAACCGTCCCACAATCAAGCGAATCAGAACTATAATTATATAAGTAACAAAAAATGTTTGCGTGCTAATCAATTGTAAATTTGTAACTTGTGAGCAGTGGACAGAAACTGGTAAAACATCCATGGACAGAAAACTGATCCGCGGACAAGATATTTTAATTAAACATATTAGTTAGTAGTTACAAATAGATACAATTTTAATATTTATTTTACTGTTCAGTTTTAAGGGTTTTCAACTCAAACTTTTATGAATTACTTTAATTTAACGTCTCTTCGAAAATGACGAATTTTACAACACAGTTTAAACCAAATGTTTACTCTGGCATCGTTGATACCATGTTGTGTTCAACTAATCAGGCTTTGATAATATGTTATATATATTTCAAAGATTTGTAATTCAACGAATTAATTATCTGAGCTATTTTGCAGTGGGTTAAGTAATTACGAAATATGAAAATTATCGAAAACGAATATATCTGAATAATGAAACGGGCAACGTATGATCTATAATCAAACTTCATAGGCGTTTTATATATGTTTACCCATCTTTGTATAAAAAAATAATCTCTATTTTGTTTTGGAGATTATACTAAATGTTTTTATATACGTTTTAACGGCATTAGCTTTTTGGATTGTTTATAAATATATTGGATTTTTATGTCATTTATAAAAAATCTTAAATTTAAATTTACACCTCAAAATTAAATTTAAATTTCCCTATTCTTTTAACTGAAACTGAGAATATACAGTTGTACGACACGTTTTTAGGTGTTAAAGAGAGTGAACTTAGTCAAGATACAAAAATGTCTCCTATCTTCTAATCTCTTGTAGAGAGCTTCAAAAGTAAACCAAGAAAGCAACGTTTAGACATGAAGAGAGAAATTAGTAACAATAATGCTAAAAAGTCTTGAGAAAAAATCTAGACAGCACTAATACGACGTAACGTATTACCAAGAAGACCTACTAAAAGACGAAACGATAAGTATGACAAGCTGACCCAAAAACGAAATCTTAAAGGTCAGCAAAAGAAAGGTGACGAAATTTCGAAGAACAATCTAATATAAAGCCTAAATGAAGTGACATAAACTAAATTTTTTATGATAAGCGAATCAAATAATGTTGATTGGATTTCATATCTAATAAGAGGATACATAAATTTAAGAAAAAAGAAATAACAAAGTGGAAACATCCGACTTAATAAAATAATAGTTATTGTTAAAGAAATCAACACCAACATTTTATTCACATCAATAACATAAAACATATAGTCAAACTAAAACAAATAACCATATATTCTAAAATATAAATAATTGTTCATGACTAAAATAGTTAATAATATATTATAGATCCAACTTTTACTTAGAACAAAAACATAAAAAATAAAAAATCGAACCGAAAAAACAATAGAATTATAATGCAAAATTCAAATGCAATTATGCAAGTATGCAATACAACATCACATATTAGTCATCATACCATTACAAATTCAAAAATAGTTGAAACTTGGAAAGTATTAAGTCAAAAGACACCCAAAGTTTCAAAAATACCACAAAACACAAGTTTTAAAGGCACCAAAAGAAGTTTTGTTTTCGATTTGCAATGATTCGAAAGAGAGAGTTGTTGTCTGCGACGCTCCTTCTTTGAGAAAGAGAGAACAAATTAGGGTTTCTCTTTAGGTTTCAGAGAAATATATAAGAGGCTAAGAGAGATATATGGTAGGTTGTTAGGTTTGGGTTGTTAGGTTTATGTCTAGATGGGTTTGAGACTTTGGGCTATATAAATATAGGTTAATGGGCTATATTTTTTGGGTACCCGAATGGATATCGGTTCCTACCCGAACCAAACCGATACCCATAGTTCTTTGATTCAAGATCCAATCGATATTTTCACTAGAACCGGAACCGAACCGTACCCATCAATTTCGGTTCAGTTCGGTTCTATGTGGATTTATATTTGTGCCCAGGCCTAGTATAAATGTAGCAAAAAGAGATTTTTTTTTTTTAATTGTATGAAGAAAAATATACTGAAAATATAATTTGTTATTAGGAAAAAGAGACTTTGATCTAATAACGTCGTCGACGTAATAACCGGGCCATCGAAAATTGGAACAAAATTGATATAAAATCTGTGCAACCCAAAACTCCTCTATAAACCACAGCCTTCCTTGACAGTTGACACTACACAGTCTCCAAAAAACTTTCAAGCGAAGCACACAAATGATATAAGGATACATTCATTCATTCGTTAGCCAAATGTATAAATTGTAAAATTCCTAATACTTTGCTAGGTATAAGCAACATCAGTTTGGTCTCATGGTCGCCTCGGATGCATTTCCAGTCGGCCAGAATGTAAAACAAACAAACAAGAACCCGACCTGCAAATACATCTAGCAGAGTTAGATCTTTGTCATTCGTTTCAGTGGGCAAACCAAACCAAATCCGAACGGAAGTTTTTAAGAACGATTGGTTAATTAGTTAAGTTCGTTTTTTTTTAAATGAAAATCGGAAACCAAATCGCAATGGCATCAAATAAAACAAAGTTCATACTGAAAATTCATCAAATCAAACGGTTTGAATCCAAACCGAAAACAACTAGTCATGGATTTGTTAAACTGAAATAACCGAATGTCCACTTCTAAATTTATGCAGATGCAAACCAAATTCACAGAGCTAGATCCTAGTGACACATACTATGAACACGGCTGAGAGCCTGAGATTCAAGATTTCAGTTGATACAATTACGTACCTTTTACTTGATGTCCAATGAAATCTGGATTAGAATCTTTTTGAGTACTAGTCTACTTCGGGGCAAGGGATGCAGACGCGGCAGCAGCTTCTGCTATGAGAGCAACCGGCTGGCGAGCCTGAAGGCAAGCGCCAATATCAAAAGGGTGCAACTCTGAACCATCATAGAGAAGATTCAGTCCTGGAAGAATCACTTCTCGGCTATCTGCTTCATCAGCATCTGCTTTTGTTGTACTTGAAGGAGCATTCTCATCAATGCTCCTTGTGGCGGCCTCGAACACTGGTGCCAGGGTGTAGGATCTGCGACCACCCCACAAAACTCCTCGACAACCAAGCAAAGAAAAAAAAAAATCATGAGACATGGAAAGGAACTAAACTGACCTAAGGATGCTACCATCGAAGCTCAGAACTTCAGTCCGGCAACGCTGTCGATTAGCTAGTTTCAGCCTTTGAAATTCACTTGTGGCTCCTGAAATTGGTGAGGAAGGGTCCACGAGTGGGTTCCACCTTCCACTTGCGTAGTTCATGAGCTTATTACTACGGGTAGGCTCCTTTACTTGTTCTTTCTGGTAAAGAACTTTAGCAGCTGGACCTGTTGCTTGGTACAGTGCACATATATCTTTCAACCTTTTCCTTATACATTGCATTGCATTGTGTTGTTCCATGAGCGAATCTGCTTGAAGTAACTGTGATGAGACGATTCTTTTGCAGATATTGTTGCATAACTTTGGACTGAAAAGTGGAAGCCCAAACTCCACGGTTAAAGGGACCCATTCATACTTCTCATCATCATCCGGAGAAAAATGCTTCGACGAATCCTTTGCTTTAAAGAGTTTCAAAAGGCGAATGTAACCGACTGTCTTCAATTCCATGTTGTTCGCCAGCTTAGTTAAAACAGAGTTCAACTTTGTATTTTCCTCGAGGGGAAGTCCAAGCTCGTCGCCGAAATGAGGAATGGAACCATCAGAATTCTTCAGGGGTAATGGTATATCTAAAGTAACAATTCTTCCAGAGCTATCAAGATCATGCTTGCTGAGAGGCTGAACAAGAACAGCTGAGCACTTGAGAAGGCAATTTAAACAGTGCAACAAAATACTTCCCTTGACCAAGTTACCTTCAAACTTGTTTCCTAAACCACCAACCGAAGATCCATCCCAAGACCAAATGATAGCTTTCTCACAGCCAGCTAGTGGAGCAGGAAGCATCCGCAGACACTGCCCTTTCATCAAGATAACCGACAAAGGCCCAATGCCCACGGTTGAATACAGTACCAATTTCATCCACTGTGTCATGGATGAATGGGAGGGAGGACCGAAATGAACAGGGCCTGACGGTCCAGGAAGAACAGTCGTAAGTGGAAGAGGAATCATTGAAACAACAATATCATAGTCACGGGAAAACAAACGATCTAGAGTAGCTGGTGTTAGAGAAGCCAGACTTTCACAACGGAGAATATCAACACGATATTTTTTCCTTTTCTTGTTTCCTTTACCGGTGTCGGGTCCATCTACAGGAATTGGTTTCCCCTCATTTTCAAGGTTAAGGTTAGAACTGAAGGTCTCAGTCAAGGCAGTAGTATCGACAGACGATGTACTGGAAGCTGCTTCATGCTTAGCGCTTTCAGGGACAGACGGTGTACTGGAAGCTGCTTCATGCTTAGCGCTTTCAGGGACATGCTCAGTACTTTCAGGGACATGCTCTGTCGACAAGGGATCCTCTTGAGGGGTGCCTGAAACCGTGGAGGCCTCACTATTTTGGCTAGTTAAAGAATCCCCCGAATTATCAGGTAAATTAACATCTGCAAGAAGAGTAACAGCCTCATCATTGCTCAAAGTTCCCGAACCCATTGTATCAACTATTGTATCAGTAGCTACTCCACCAGATATCAAACATTCCAGGACACAACGAAGGCTAAAGGCATGATTTGCAAATTCTTGCAGTTCACCCTCAAATTTCGCTCCCTCTAATGTGCTCAAATCCTGGCAAAGGTCTGGGATACTAGTATGTCCAAGTTTTCCCGCTTCATAGAGTGTCACAGCATGAGATTTCAATCCTACAATATCGTTCATGAACATGTATGGAATATATTAGAATAATGCAAAAAGTGATCCTTTACAAAGATAATTGATATTCAAGGGCTTTTAATAGTTGTAAGTTAACCATCAAATAGAACTATAAGAAAGTTTACCTGGTGACACAGAACCCATCATTAAATACGATGTTATATTAGCATCAACTATGAAAGCAACCCGAACATGACTAGAACGCGATCCAGAGCTTTCAGTCCCTAAATTATCTCCATGTTGAGCCTCCTCACCATCAGCGGACTTGTAGGTAGAGCCTAAACTAGCGCGAGATGCATCTTCGTCATCACTGAGGACGGCACGTGGAGACCCAGGCATAATCTTGTCATGAAGCACAGATGACGGATCAATTAACTTGACAGCCCATCCCAACCGGCAAACAAAAGATGCAGCAGCCTGTAATTGAGTTACGTCAGCTTGCAAAGTGGATGCCAGCTCTGCAACTGTTGAGTTCTCATTTGAAACTACAAAAACTGCATAGAGTAATCTGCAAAATGTAGTTGCAGCTATTAATGTCCTAGATAATCTCAGGGGTAACTAAAACCAGGATAAAATAAGCTTCCATGTGGCACAATAGTTCCCTTACTCTTCAATGGGATCTTCGTAAGACTGCTCTCTGTTAGAGATGAACCCTTCAAGCTTTGAAACTGAAACAGGAACGCAAAAGGACATGCATCTCAGTGAAAATTTCACTTTCAAAATAGAAAATATGAGACTGACATATGAATCTAAGAACAGGCTATCTAGGAGCTTCACTGGCTCTGTTCAAGTAAGTAAAAGTAGCATGAAATAGTATTGGTAAATAATGATAAAAAATTTAGTTATATGAAGAGCTGGTTATGAATCTGTTCTTGGAACCCCCTGACATGCGATTATATGCCTTAGCAAAAATTCAACATTATCCACCCTTGATGTAGATTGTAAGTAAAGGTAGAAGAAATGGTGTGGTATGAAAATATTGGCAAACATAAACTCACCTTTAAAGCGGTCGTCCTGATAGACTGGGACATCAAAATATACCAATCCCCTCTGGTACAGGCCTTTTATGACTTCTGGATCGAAGAGGAAATATGCATTAGCTTCCTCTTTGCATATTTTATCTATTGTTGCCATCTCATCTTCTGAAAGTTTCTATGCAAAGAACAAGGAAATAAGATCTGTTATCAGACAAAGAACAAGTAAGATGACAGTGACATCGTTCACTCTGAGTAAACTTCGTTTGAAAAGGAAGAAATGAAAAACATAAAGAAGAGCTTAGGTTACCTTAAACTCTTCTATGGTGAAGTTGACAAGGCAAACACCCCACCAAGGGTCAATAGGGAAATCCACAGGTTGAGTAGGTAAGAAGTCTTTTGCAATTGATTTATTCAGCTTCCACATTATTTTCTGGAAAGTTCAACCATGTATCAGAAGTATAAGACATAATAGATGTTGAATTACATCCACTTATAGGCTCAAGTTATAATGATACACTATGATGCTCTAAACTTTTTTAAAATTACAGAGCTAGAAAACGTAAACAAGAAATACTCCATCTAAAATTTTTGCAAACATTGAATTCCCATATTTTTACCCAGAATAAAGATTCTTCAAGTCAAAAGTCAAAGCAAAAGAGATTTTACCGAGTGTAACTTGCACGACATGCCAGGCACATAAATCAGAATAGAGTCTAGACGAAAAAGTACCTTAGATCTGCATTTATTCATGATATCAATGAACTCATTCCTCCCTATTCCTGTAAGCCGGAAAGCATCTGCCGCACTGAAGTTTGGAATACTGTCATAAGGTTGCTCTGTGTCAAATTAAAAGGAATGAGAATGACAAAATCACTGGCTCAAACTTTAGGTAAGTAAAAAGTGAGCTCTAGAATAAAGCAACCATTTACCATTTCTCATGACTTCAAATATCATATCACAGTAGTATCTGAAAGGTGATATCCTCATCACACGGCAAACATACTCTGCAAGGTGGTATGGAAAGAGCTGCAGGTAATTGTTAACAGCAATTAAAATTAGAGTTTCTCGGACAGTAACAGAAAAGAATGCCCTATATATTTCGTCCTAGATCACAAAGTTTCTCTCCTTGTATACACTATGTGAACCGACGACTATCATTGAGAGTAGGAAACATAGTTACCATCACAGACTATGCTATCTAGAATCTAAAATAACCCTTGTTAGCCAGTGTTATAGATTCCAAACCCTTTTCTAATACATTGTCGCTCTAATACCGAAAATTGTTCTGCGAGAAAGCCATTAGATACGAGATAAAAGCAGGAATGAAGAAAAGAAAAAAACAGGGAAACTACAGCAAAATGATTCACCAGTAACTCTCCACTAGAATGCAATAAAAATAAAAAGACCTCTTAGAGAGTAATCCATCAACACGCACCGCCAGATTCTTTCGCAAGTAACGCATCATATCTTCATAATATTCACCTTCTTTGCAAACTTTACAAGCAAAACATGTATTCCATAGAAGTCTTTTCTTTATACAATGCGCCGTAACCCTACATAAAGAATCAAAACAGTGAAAAAGGATACTACTATGTCAAGGTAAACTATAGATCAGCTCGATTCTAACATACGGAATTCAACATGAGAAACATGTTTGTTGCAGAAGAAATCAAAACAAACTGAAAATTTCTAACTCATGAGCAAAGAAAATGTAGTATCATCATATACCCAAACCGTTTCCCGAGCCAGTGCAGGCAGAAAGCATAAAGAAAGACTAACCTTCTATGCCATTCATCCTTAGACCCAAGAATAGATTGGAGTCGTTTCGGGAGGTTTTCCCATGGACATTCTTCTCTTACAGCTTTCGATATTAACTGGTCCTCTATTGTTACTGGAGTGTGCTGCATCTTCCCCAAATTTCCCTATCTTCCAATGACATCAACAAAATTCAACATAAATAGTTGGAATGAGGAATTTAAGCTTTAATCTAACCAGTAGAAGAAGCAATTCAGAATCATCATCACACCAAGTTCTTCCACCGACAAAATCGAAAAACCTAGATCAATTTCTAATCATAATCGGCTACACAATGCAAAAATCGAACATAGAAATGGAGTCTAATGTCAACTACTAGATGAAATTTTGAAGAACATCGGCGGGTGAACATGCAACTTCTGATCCGTAATACATAAGAAATTCGAAGAAGAATTGAAGAAAACGAGACAATGGAATTGGCGATCGGAGATCAGAGGTAGTACCTGAGCACACACCGGAGATGGCAGAGAAAACTAGAGTTTCCTTGACCGGAATCTCATAAGATCTGAAGCGACTACAAAAATTTTTTTGGCAACGACTGATCTTGGCTCATGGGCCGAAGGTGGTACAATGTGGGCCTGAAAGTTTTTATGTGGGCCCCAAAAGCATACAGTACAACAAAAATCATAACAATAGAAAGAAAACGGGAAAATTCCCAAAAAAAACTCCAACTATTTAATATTTGGCAGAAAAAAAACCTGAACTTTTTTCGTTGCCGAAAAAAAACTCTAACTAATTTACCGCTGACAAAAAAAACACGAACTTTTTTTTTCTTCCAATTTCTTCTCGTCTCCGTTACGGCCGTTAACGCCGTCGTTGACGCCGTTACTATTTTTAGGAAAATTCCTTAAAAAAACTTAAGTTATTTAATTTTGCCAGCAAAATACCTGAATTATTTTTTTGTTGCCAGAAAAATACACAGATCAACATTTTTCTCCTTTTCTTTTATTTCATTAAAAATGTAAGGTGGTTAGACCTCATAACTTTATGTGTTCTCTTGAACCTCATACAAATTCTCACTACTATTAAATTAATCGATTTTTCAATTTTTCAATTAGAACAAAACTCACAATTACATTAGTTGATTCCCAAATTTTTTAACTAGAACAAAAAAACACAATTAGATTATTCGTTTTTTTAGCGTTGAGTTGGTTTGATTAAGCTAGCTTTACCTTCAATTTTGGTGGATTTTGCTTGATTGGAGTATTTTTTTTTTGTGATTTATGTAGAGAATTTTTGAAGATCTACCAAGGTTTTTTGGGCTCTTATGAAATTTAGAGTTCCATTGTTGATGATGTCCCAAAATATGTAAAGCCTGAATAGATCCAAAAACAAATCTAATTGAGAAATTTGAAAATCGACTAATCTATTTGTATATTTTTGTTCTTAAATTTAATTGTCCTAAGTAATAGTGAAAACTGAAAACTTTTATGAGGTTCAAGAGAACACATAAAGTTATTAACTCTCACCATCTTACATTGTTGATGGAAGACAAAAAGAAAAGAAAAATGTTGATCTATGTATTTTTCTGGCAACGAATAAATAATTCGGGTAGTTTTCTGGCAAACTTAAATAACTTAGGGTTTTTTCAAGAATTTTCCCAAAAAAAATAGTAACGGCGTCAACAACGGCGTTAATGTCCGTAACGGAGACGAGAGGAAATTGGAAAAACAAAATAGTTCGTGTTTTTTTGTCAGCGGTAAATTAGTTGGGGGTTTTTTCCGCTAACGAAAAAAGTTCAGGTTTTTTTCTGGCAAATATTAAATAGTTAGGGATATATTTTCCTTGGACATCGGGGATATATTTTCCTTGGACATCGTAAACAAATTCGATGAACAAAATTATCAATCAGATTTTTAATTTTTATTCAACAGATTTTTTTTAAATAAAAAAATAAAACAAAAGGATTTTTGAATAAAATTAGTGTATCTTTGCTAGTTGAGTATTTTAGATGGACACCCGGTTAATTGTTATGTGGGTTATTCTGTTTTATTTTTATTTTAAATAAAAAAAAACAATAACATAATTAAACATGACTAACTATTTTTAATTACTATTATAGATTTTTACTATATTTATTTGTATTTTTATATATTTGATTATATATATATATATATATATATATATTAATTTTAGTGGATTTCAATTAAACAAATTGGTTTCATATAATTCAGATTTGGTTAGGTTCGGTTCAGAAAATTCAGTAAAAAAACTTATGTATTGTTTGAATTAATCTAAAAAAATCGATTTGGGTTCCATTTGGGAAAATGTTTGCCAGCTACGCGAAAGATATGCCATCACATAGTCACACATGTAGACTTTAAAAATGTCTCGTTAACTACACGAAGTATTGACATTACATACGGACATCCCCGAACTAACATAAGTCATGTTGCAAACACCATAACCATCTAATTCCAGTGATTTAGTTGCCGGAATCCGGCATTGACCACCATTGACCGGCGTTGACCGATGTTGACCAAAAAAAATTTCAAATTTTTTTTTGCTTTTTATTTATTTATCTATTTTTGATAAAAAAAAATTATTACATAAATTTACTTAAAAATATACCAAAAAATAATATAACAAAATAAACCACAAAAAAATTATACAACAAAATTTTGGTATATATTTTTGTAATATACCACAAAATAGTCCATAAATTTTATTTTGTGCTATATTTATTTATAAAATTTTGGTATAATATACCACAAAGTATATTTTGTTATATGACCAAAATTTTATAAGAAATATTTTGTTAATAAAATTTTGGTAATATAACAAAATATACATTTTCCTTTTGGCAATCATTTTTTTACCTCAAAGTAATATTTTTCTTATCGGTTATTCGTTGTTGAATACCACAAAAAAAATTTCCAAAAGAAAAATGTATATTTTGTTAATAAAATTTTGGTAATATAGCAAAATATACATTTTCTTTTTGAAAATCATTTTTTACCACAAAATAATATTTTTTTCTTCTCGATTGTTCGACGTTGAATACCACAAAAAATGATTTTCAAAAAAAAATGTGTATTTTTTTATATTACCAAAATTTTATAAATAATTATAGGACAAAATAAAATATATGGACTATTTTGTGGTATATTTAGTTATATTACAAAATATCTACCAAAATTTTTGTTGTATATTTTGTTGTGGTATATTTTGTTATATTATTTGTGGTATATTTAATTTTGGTATATTTTTAAGTAATTTAAATTATTTTTTATCAAAACTAAATAAATGAATAAAAAGAAAAAAAAAATATTTTTTTGAAAATATTTTTGGTCAATGCCGGATTCCGTATGTAATATCAATACTTCGTGTAGCTAACGAGACATTTTTAAAGTCTGCATGTGTGACTATGTGATGGTGTATCTTTCGCGTAGCTCGTAAACATTTTTCCTTGGTAATTTAGCCTACCGTCCCTAGTTTTTAGCTAAAGTGTATATTGGCTACTTTAACGTTGTTTATTTTACTTTTTTTTTTTTTTTTTTTTGGCAAAGAAGAATTTAACGTTGTTTATGTTTATGTTACCTATAAATGTAAGGTTTTAATCTTATTGATTTATGAAAAGATTAAAGGGGTATTCGTTAGCTGAATTTAAAAGAATTAAAATAAATAGAAAAATGGAAGATTTTTTAGAAATTGAAAAATTCTATCCAAATCACACCATAAAAGGTGGGATTTGTTTCTTCACGTTTTCTCCTTTCATTTCTTTTAAATTCTAATCAAATCACATTGACATTTTTTTTTTATTAAAAAAAGTCTGTCAGTTGGGCTTTGGTCTCACATTGACATTAAAACAATCTTAATAGTGAATAACAATAGAATTTAATAGACTTCTAAAACCAATAAATTGAATAACAGTAAAATTTAATAGAATTATAAAACTAATAAATTGAATAACACTAGATTTAAATAGAATTCTAAATTCTTTCAAATTCAATAAAAATCCTACGTTCAATAACCACAACTCGTATAAACGTTGTATATACAATGTCATTGCCTTACCTAGAGATTATATAAATGTAAAATATACAAAACAATATACATACTAAAGAGATATCCTCTTTATAATAAAGAGCATTTCTTATTTTACTATGGCAATTGCATAACACTACTGGATTTTCGAGTTTGAGAAGCAGTCAAAATTTAGAAAATGTCTTTGATCCACAATTACTCGATTTATCCAAAAAAAAAAAGATATACTGTATGTGCATGATATATATATGCATGTATCCACCTTACAATATTTGCTTTACTTTCATTTTCACTTGTTTTCTCCAACTTTGACATTTTTTGTCACAAATCTTTTTTCTAGTGGTCCATTTCTTTCGCGGCCTGTTTTATATAGACACATATACTGATGTACACACCTTGTTGTAAGATAATCTTTTTACATGCATGTGTAGACCCATGGACATCTGTTACGTATAAGCATTAAATGTTTTAAGCAATTTCGACAAATATTAGTTGACATTGTACGTTTTAGCTATATGTTAATTAGGGTTTGTTTGAATCTAAATCGTTGTCAAAACCAAGAGTACTATATATGTGGTCCAGTAATTGATTTAAATGGGTAGAGGATTTGCCATGTGGAACAAGATGAGAGAGTTTTGGCATATATAAATTTTTTTTTTTTTTTTTTTTGATAACCCAGTATCCAGACCACACAGTGATCTGACTAGCCCACTGGGCCTAAGCCCGCGTCACAGGGATTTTTAAGCCTCCACTTAAGGGCCCCCTGATAAACTGGTGGTCTGGGGCGCCTGAGCAAGTCCGCAGGTAAATTCCCAGGTGGCCACAGGAGTGAGAGAGCGAAACTGCGTCTGGGGAGGATCGATCCCTGGCCTAGACCAACAGGGCGATCCTTCCAACCAAACGAGAACCACTCGCCCACCACCATGTGGTTAAAATTTACGCTTTGTTATTGAAAGAAATTAATCGTTATCGTTGTCTTAATAGATACTACCAGTCTACCATTAGCATCGCAAAATCAAGAGGTTGTGGCTAGTGACAAAAATCAATGGTAAAAGATTCGTCTTGTGGATTAAAACTAAGGTATGATTCTCTTTTTACAAACATCTCAATAAATCAATCGATCGCTAACCGATTTAAATGCTAAAAATATCTGATTCTCTCTAGAGTTTAAAAATAATCTGGATCTTAACAAACAAAGCACCTCGGTTATATTTATATTAAAGAACAACTACAAACATTTGTAGTTCGTAGTGGTGGTGGTACTCTCAAACTTCAATTGTGGGCTAGATAGACTTTGACGGACTCTTGTTTTATGCTATGAGAGGGACATGTGTCGGTTATTGTAGCTGTAAAGAAGCCATGGTCGGTGTGATTAGAGAATCTTCCGCTTTGCGGTTTTCAACACCTTCTTCAATTTAGACCGGGTCCATAGACTTTGGAGGTTTTTCGTTTCCACGGGACTTGTATATTAAAATATACTAAAAGCTTATAAAGCATCACTTTTGATATTACAAAAAGGAATAAAAAAGAGAGTTTTACTCATTCTTATCTCTTTTTTAAAAAACCTTGTGATCTACAACTTTTTTAAAAAAAATATTTGTGATTGAAATTTTAAAATTTTGTATAATTTTTATTTATTTTGATAAATAATTATGTATAATAATTTTGATATTACAAAAAGGAATAAAAAGAGAGTTTTACTCATTCTAATCTCTTTTTTTTTAAACCCTTGTGATCTACCACTTTTTAAAAAAAAATCTTGTGATTGAAATTTTAGAATTTTGTATATATCTTATTTATTTTGATTTTGATAAATCATTTTATGTATAATAATTTTTGAATTTTGTGTGTTTTGAAAACTTACATAATGTGCTAAATCGTGGTTTATGTTTGATCATTTTGCTCCTTCTCAAGTTTATTGTGTGTTTTGAAAACTTACATAATGTGCTAAATCGTGGTTTATGTTTAATCATTTTGCTCCTTCTCAAGTTTATTGATAAGTACAAAATAAATCAGCGTATATTTAAAGTTAATTGTTTTTTTTCATAATGAGAACATTAACCATATTTACCATAATTCCTTCATTACACGATATTTTTCATATACCATATACAACTAAAAAAATATCATTCTATTAATCTGCAAAAAAAATTGAAGAAAAAATTATAGGCATATAGAAAAACAGTAGATACAAGATAAGATATGAACTAAAGTGTTAAGAGGTTTGTTGTGTAGTGGATTTCAAAGTTAGCGAAAAGGTACTATAAGAAAGAGTTCGCCTATATATACATTAGAGGTTGTGTTGTGGTTAACCTAATCTCTTATGTTTACCATTTTCTTTCATCTCTTATAATTCTCTATTTTAAAACACAGAAAAATCAAAACAATATGGAAGAAGACACATTCTCATTGGGTGGGAAGAAGAGAAGATTGAGTGTAGATCAAGTCAAGACACTTGAGATGAACTTCAAAGAAGAGAACAAGCTCGAGCAAGAGAGAAAAGTGAGGATCGCCGACGAGACAGGGCTGCATCCAAGACAAGTGGCCGTGTGGTTCCAAAACCGACGTGCCCGTTGGAAGACTAAGCAACTTGAACGAGACTATTGCGTCCTTAAAGCTCATTATGACTCTCTAAAGCTTGAGTACAAAAATCTTGAGCATGAGACAGAAGATCTTACCTCAAAGGTATATTAATACTCACTTAGCACAAACAACACGAACTGTGTTTAATAAATAAGATATTGAATCACTTACTAGATTTCTATGTTTTATGTTTGTTCCGTAGCTTAAAGAGCTAAGAGCCAAAGTTAGAGAAGAAAAGAGAGAAGAGGAACATAGCATGTCTCTTAAAGAACAAAAGCGAGAAACCGAAGAGGAAAATGATAAGATCTTTCAGATGGTACCTACGTCTCACAACGGCTTATGTTCTTCGACAACTTTAGGATCGACGGCTGAACCTTGCCAGTTACGCAATTATCCGGAAAAAGAAATTATTATGGTGAAACTAAAAGAACTCCGCAATTTAAATTATGTTGATTATGCTTCTAATCTCCAATGGTAAAATTAATTACATGATCTAGTCTATATGTAAATTGAGCTCTAATTGAACAATTTGTGATAGGGTTTGGTAGATGTAGACTATTTACTGCTTTGCTCAAGTTCATTATTAGGTATGAACGATGACAATATGGTAATAACGAATTCTTGGATTGTACATGAAATAAACTGATTATAAGGAATATATAAATCTTATTATTGATAGAATGTAAGCTACACATATTTATACAAAGTTAAGGAGACTAGGGTTAAGCTAATACTTAACTAAATTACATTTAGACCTTTAACTAAGTATTGTTTACATAATACTCCTATACGCCCCCGCAAGATGGAGGTACCCGTGTGACTCCAATCTTGATACAAGCACGTTGAAATCTTGATCGGGGAAGTGGTTTGGTTAATGTATCCGCTAACTGATCGTGAGTGGAAACGTGTGAGACGCGGAGCATTCCAGCTTGAATCTGATTCCTTACAAAGTGGTAATCGAGTGCTATATGCTTCATATGGGAGTGGAAGACAGGATTTGCACATAGATACGTTGCGCCGATATTGTCACAATAAATAACGGGTGCCGTGGATATAGATATTTGGAGCTCAGTAAGTAAAGAACACAGCCATTGTACCTCTGAAGCAGCGTTAGCAACGGCACGATATTCGGCCTCCGTGGAAGAGCGAGCAACTCCGCGTTGTTTCTTGGATGACCATGAGATGGGATTCCTCCCAAGATAAATCAAGTAGCCATTGGTGGAGACATAGTCATCATTATCTCCAGCCCAATCGGCATCGGAGTAGGCATGTAGAATGAGTGGCGACGATGCTTGAAAATAAATGCCGTGTGCGACCGTGCCGGACAAGTAGCGCAACACCCATTTGGCGGCCTGCCAATGTTCATGACTCGGCTTATGGACAAACTGAGAGAGACGGTTGACAACGTAGGAGATATCCGGTCGGGTAAAAGAAAGGTATTGGAGACTTCCAACAAGTGATCTATACGGAGCCGGATCCTCAAGAGGGTCACCATCATAAATTGTAATTTTCGGGGATGCTTGCATCGGTGTTGTCACGGGTTTGGCATCCAACATGTTATGACGAGCGAGCAGATACGTGACATATTTCCGTTGCATCAAGTGTAAGCCATTGGCATCCCGTGTGACCTCAATGCCGAGGAAGTAGTGTAGATCCATCGGGTCTTTAATTGAGAACCGTTCTGCAAAAGAGGCTAAAACATTTGTAACAATACGATTATTGGTACCCGTAACGATGATGTCATCAACATAGACAAGGACGTAGGTGATGGTGGTCGCGGAGCTGTGAACAAAAAGTGATGTATCGGCTAGCGAATTGGTAAAACTAGCGGCTAGAAGAAATTGTTTCAATGCCATGTACCACTCCCGTGGTGCTTGTTTCAGACCGTAAATAGGTTTCTTCAAGCGACAAACAAATGATGGCCGATCCTTATCAACAAATCCCAGTGGTTGTGAAATATATACTTCTTCGGTGAGTTCGCCTTGTAGGAATGCATTGTTGACATCAAGCTGCTTGATAGGCCAATGTTTTGTTACTGCAACTTCAAGAACAACGCGGATTGTTGTGGACTTGATGACGGGGCTAAACGTTTCGGCATAGTCTTTTCCGTATTATTGATGAAAACCCTTTGCGACAAGGCGTGCTTTATAACGATCAAGCTTACCATTGGCATAGAATTTTGTGGTGAACACCCATCTACAACCAACAATATTCTGTCGTTTTTCCGGTGGTACTAGATCCCACGTTCTATTTATAGCAAGAGCATCAAACTCACTTGAACACGCACATCTCAAGTTTTCATCTTTTAAAGCTTGGTGAATCGTTGTAGGCTCTTTGACAGATTGCGAATTGGAGGTAACTGTTAGGCTGTGTTTTTGTTTTGGTTTTCGAATATTATTTTTGGCTCTAGTTTGAATGTTGTGGAGATTTTGTGGTGGTGCTACGATTTGGTTCTGTGGCTGATACGCGGTTTGGTGTGGTGTTTGGGAATTTCTTTGTGACTGATTCTGAGCTGTGGGTTGCAGCTCATTTTGGCGTGGAGCAGTAGGCTCAGTGGAAGCAGGGCGTGACTGAGTCGAGGTTTGCGACTCATTTTGTGAATGAGCAGTGGGCTCAGAGGTTGTAGAAGGAGAAGGAGAATTAGAGTTAGGAGATGATACCTTGGCTGTTGGCGTGACCGTTGATGACGGGTGAAGGTCCGAGCGTGGGGTTCCCATTACCGGCGACGAAGACGGCGAGGACTGAGACGAGGCAGAGGAGGTCTCTGTTCGTGAAGGAGAAGACAGAGTTGGATGTAGTTGGTCACGTGTTGGGCCCTGGGGAAAATTAAGTTGCTGGGCCGAATTTAAATTCCTTGTTGGGCCTTGTTGATTTAAGCCCATATTTTGTATGTTTTGGTCTTCTTCTTCACGAAACTCTGTGAGATCACGATGAGGAGACAATGGCAGCACCGGTGGTTGTACGTCCGGCGGCGGAGATGAAGTTGACAATGGCAGCACCGGTGGCTGTACGTCCGGCGGTGGACTGACCCTAAATCTAACAAGTGGATTACTCAGACATAATGAAGGGAACACAAATCATAATCTGAATAAATAAATTGCATTAAAAGGTTAAAGACACTACAGGAAAATGAAGCATCTGTAGCGCCCGATTAACGCTATATAACTCTACTGTAGCGTTTTATCAAGCGCTCTATCATCGTCCATCATAATAGGTCGGAGACAAATTATAGCGGTTTTTTGTTATGCTACCAAAAAGTTCGTTATTACAGCGCTTTCTTTTATGCAATAATTAATAATATAATAGCGCTTAATATCCGATATTAAATACTATTATTGACAGCATATTAATTTTGCTACATATAAATTGACAATAGCAGTTAATAAACTACAATTGTTCAATTAATGTCATTTTTTAATGCAATATGTGACCATCCATTTCGAGTTCCAATTCTGTTTTGATCAAATTATTTACAAATTAATATTAGATAAAACAGATTTAAAAAGACAAAATGAAATTTATATTAGATAAACATGTCAATGTAAGTACTCAAATCACATGATCATGCCTTAGCAAGTACTGAATTCACCAAAATAACAAGATTATATTTAGACATACATGATTTTTTCATTAGGCCAAGCCACAATACTACCTACTGCATCGGCAATGGTTTGAATTTCAGAGTTTGGTCTCCACACAGCTGCATCTACAACCTTTGATACTTCTACCCAAACTTTGCTCGCATTGGCACCCTAGGGCATATGATGGACTGTGTCTGATGGATTAGATGGACAGACTCTGCCTTCTGCTACTCTTTCTCTGGAGTTTTTGCAATCTAACAAGATGCATTTCTTCTTGACAGATTTGCTTGTGCTACCAGTGCTGTTACTTAAGATCTACAATAATCAAAATTCAAAAATTACTTAAATCCATCATTCATCAATTCATTATAAGTAAAAAGTTCAAGAAATTTACCAGTGAAGGAGATGGTCTTTTATCTGCTGCTGTTGATTCTTCCCTTGGTGATGAATTCACAAATTGTATACTCTGAAGAGGCCATGCGATGTTCTCATGTAGTACATCCTTCATTAAAAACTTTCTCGGACTTGGTCTCCACAAATATGCGTTCTTGTTAAACACTTTCTCAACATTAACAATTCCAGCAGAATGACCAAGAGGCATATTATTGACCATTTTGTCCTTGTCTGTTGAACACAATCGACCCTCAGCAACCACAGAGTCAGCCAAATTCCAATCAATGATGAGGATTTTTGCGTGAGATCCATCTGTACCATATATAATGATGCATAAATAATAATTGATTAGCCTAATGATGCATAAATATTCGACAAGTAAAGGAAAGAAAACCTTACTGAGGATCCTGCAGTCTTATTCTCAATAGGGGAGTCTGCATCATTGTCTAGAATGATCTTATCGAAAGCTTCTGCAACTGCGAGTACCTTAAAACAAAACCCTAAAACGATTACAACCCAAAATTGAAGCTCAAATATGATAATTTCACAAACAAAACCCCAAATCGATTTCAAAACCCTAACCTTTACAATGTACGACCAGATCTGTGACTGAGAGATAGAGAGTCGAGTGAGAAGAGAGATGGAGACTCGATTAACTGAGAAAAGGAGATGGAGAGTCGAGAACAGAGAGAGATTTACAGAGAGAGATGAAGAATGGAAAGAGATGAAGAATCGAGAACAGATATCGATTTACAGAGAGAGATGGAGAATCGAGACTGGAAAAGAATGGAGAACAGTGAAGAGTCTATGTGCCTTAAACAAAAATTGTGGGAAATATTTGATAGCACTTTTTAATGATTACCCGCTAATAGATTACATAGCGTTTAATCTAAAATAGTGCTATCAAATATTAAACCTAAATCCAAAAACATTGACCCGCGTCCTTTTATTTCTCCGAGTAATAAAGTATAGCGTTTAAAATTTACCAAACGCTATAACATATTACGGTGTTTGTCAATCACAGTAAAACAACATTAATTGTTATATTCTTAAGCTATAAATGCGAGAGATAGAGTAAGAGAGTTCTGAATCTCTCTGAAGGAATCTGATTCTTCTCTCCAAGCTAATACAAAATCTCTCTCCCAAATTAAAGCTTAATTTGTCTTACAAACATAAAAACCTAATAATATAGTCTAAAACACGACCGGGACTTCTTTTGCAATAAACAGAAACATTGGGGCAATTCTGTAATTCTTCAAATCTTGATAAAACGTGCAAAGCCTCTTGGAAACGCGACGGTGTCGATCGACACTGATGGTGTCGGTCGACACCATGACACTCAGAACGATCCGAATTGCTCTTGTTAGCTGAAATGCTCCAAATACTCCTGTTTTGCTCCAGAATCCGCCAAAATATGTAATCTCCTGTAAAGACTCTAAAAGACGCAAAAAGAACTAAAAAGACTCTAAAATCACAACTAATATCATGGTTAAAATCAGTAAAAATCACGATATATCAATAACAAAGTCGATCAAGGTCGTGTCTAAAATCATGTCCAGTCTCTAATCGACCTAATAATTGACATGATTATCGATTAGACTGTAACTTTTGATCAGGTACTCCATTTGACCCTAAATCACCACCATTGGAAAGATAATTCAATTTTCTATGACTTTCATATTATTAAGGACTCCAAAGCTAAATCGCAGGGAGCGATCCTCATAAAACATTATCTTTCAAACACTTTAGATTGATCGAACATAACCATCTATCTTGTCCCTTCCTTCATCTTCCTTTGGTCATTTCTTGTTCTCTTAACCACATATTCTCCTCCAATAATAACACATCAAAAGTTTCCAAGAATAAATTAAAAAAAAAAAGAGAATATTTGAGCCGTTGTTTACATAGTTTTTTTTTTAAAACGTTTCCAAAAGAGAATTTTTTTAAAAAAAGAGAATTTTAACAGCATTGGCTTATTTGAGCCGATTTTAAACTTTTGAGAATACATTAAAATCATAAAACATCAAAAGTTTTCAAGAATAAATTAAAGTTTTTATCAATCACATATCCGATCAGTTCTGGTCTCGTGTGGTAGAAGTGCACGAGGCTGCAAGAAATGCAAGTTAGAGTGAATGTTCAAAAAGATATATCCAACCATAAATTCAAGCTATTAAAAAAAAAAACTTGCATACATCAAGCAATGTGAAAACAAACGTTCAAGTGGTTTTAATAATAATATTATTAATGAAATATAATTTTTTTTGAATTTACATAACTTGTACGAGTAACTAATTTTTATTTTAAAATTAAATGATGTTCAACAAAGCCGAATTAATGTTAATGGAGTAGTAATGGTAATGGGTAATCCAAAATATAGAGACGGTTGCACACGTGCTATTTAAATTTCAAGAGGTTTAAAGATGGTTGCACACGTGCTAGAAAAGTGACAAGTCCATGTAGTTTCGGGCATACATTTTTTGAATCAAAAAATCTTAGCCATGATTCTGCTACACAAAAATGTAGTTTATCTTGAGGATCTACGTCTTGACCGATTTAAATGAAAATTTTAAATTAAAAAAAAAAATAGATAATTTTTAGAACAATGTCCAAAAACAATATTATTTATAGATTTAAAATAAGAATTACGTTTTGAAAAAACTCAGAAAAAAGTAAATTTTATTTTAGGACTTGAATTCGATACAAAATCCGAATATTTGTGCATATACAATATATTCAAGCTGAACAAATATATATTTAAATAACAAATAAAAATGTTAATTTTTTAACTATTAAATAGAAACACCTACGTTTGTTTAGATATTAAAAAAAAAACTTAGAAAAGTTTAAGGATCATTTTGTAAAAAAAAATCAAACAGAAAATTACTTCTTCTTAATAGTTTTCTTTTAAATATAATAAAATATTATTCATATCAATTAAAAATTATTTCCCTCATTTTTTAATATTTTCCTTTCAAAATGAAAAACCATTCCTCAGCATTGTCTCCTGTGTACTGTATTAATAATTTAATACACCTCTTAGATCGATACAACATGTCATCGTGCTTAAAGCTTTAACCAAAAAAAAATACATATATTTTGGCTTTTTATGTATGTTTGTGAATGTAATAACGTCAGAATTAAATAATAGAAATTCTATATACGTACAAACCAAAAGAACAAAAGTTATATACTTATATATATATTTTTCGATACGTAAATATTTATATATTGAGTGTGTATGAAATTACACAATATTTGGGACTTTCTGCGCCTACCAGACTTGGAATTTTCTAGTCATTACAACTGACCTGTTGCACTCAATCACAGCCGTTACTTAATCTCCTCCACTCCATCCTAACCGTTGATTCTCCTTTTGCCCGACCTACACGACCTGTCAACTAAAAAATCTTACAAAAAGGCCCATCTTCAAACTTTCCCGGAAAATCCCTAGAAACCTCCAATGAACCATCCACGACCAAATCATTCTCTCTATTAAAATTATATAAACATTTTTGATGTCTCTTCTTAACCACTCAAATAGATGAAGAAATGGCGAGCTTAAGCACGAGCTTGCTCGGAATAAGACGAGGGTCAAGTAACAAGAATAAGGCAGAAGATAAGACCAAAAACGCAGTGTTTTGCAAGAAGCATCCAAAGCATAGACAATCACCTGGTGTTTGTTCTCTTTGTCTTAACGAGAGGCTCTCTCTTTTTATCAAAGCAGCTTCTTCACGTCGACCAAGATCTCGTCAAATCTTGTGTTCTTCTTCCTCAACTACTTCCTCTCTATCTTCTTACGGTTCTTCTTCTGTGTCTTCTTGTCCTTCTCCTCTTGTTGAACGCCGAAGATACTTGGTAATGTCCGGAGGCAGCGGTAGAGGAGAGAAAGTGGTTTCGTGGATGACGAAAAGCCGATCTGTAGCTTGTAAAGTGGATGATGAGAAAAGAAAGAAGAAGAAGACAAAGACGAAAAGTGGTTTCTTTTTTGGTTTGCTAACGGGCTCAAGAAGGGACAATAAGAGAGTGTTGTAGATTTTTTTAGATTAGATTGTTATTGATTGTGTATTTTATGATGCGTTCTTGATTCTTTCATGTTAGATTGATTGCTACATATAGATGACTAGATCAGTTTAGAATTTTGGGTACGTGAAAGTGAGAGAGATTCTCAATTAAAAACGATATATGAGAAAGAGAAAGCAACAAAAAAAAATTAACGAAGCGGTTGCAAAGTCTTTTTTATACGTATTATTGTGATTTGTGATTGATTCCATGAGCTTGTAGTTTAGTGAAAACATAAAATGTGCTAATCAAGAGATTGAGAACATGTTTTTCGTTGTTGATTTTATTGACCAAAAAAATAAAATGTTTTCGTTGATGATTTCAGTTGACCCCCAAAAAAAAAAAGTTGTCCTTGTTGTTATTAATGTTTGCACACTTACAATTGAAAGAAAACTTAAGACTTTTCAATGATAAAATTCGTGAGAATATAAAATTCATATAACTAAACTTTGTATTAAGAAACTCTTCTCCAATTTGATAAAAAAAAATCTTCTTCTAATTAATTATTTTCTCTTCCCGATCTACAAAGAATGCATAACGCAAACCCTACAATCATATTTTCTTAGATAACCATGGTCGGGCCAAAATTCAAGATATATAGCAATGTTTTCAATTCTTGTAGATTCACTTATTTTATTTTGAAGTAATGGTTATATATATCTTTAAAACCACCAAAATTAGTTGTTATATTAATACAAATATACACATTAAGTAAAAAATATTTGAAAATTTAAATAACAAATATGAAAGGGGCACTGAATATTTTTCTTGGATTCGGACAATTAAGTAGTTCCATTAGACTGACCATGTAGACAAGACAACTTTTCTTTTTTGGTAAAATAGACAAGACAACCTATCGAAGAAGAAGAAATAACGCCCATATTTACACAAACAGCAAGTCCATGAATCATGGAACTGTAATTATAAACATATAAATCATTCAGATGTCGTAATGTAAAATTTAGATAGCAACTATCTTCGTCAACAAAAGAAACTACTTTTAGATGTTCACATGTAGTAAGGCTAATAAATATATGTAGAGCTTTACGCATGTGTGTTTTTTAGAGCGAGACTTTTCAAATGATCTTTAATACTTTTGTAGCTCCCACATTTACCTGGAAATTCTCTATAATTCGTATTCTTTTGAATCCCTTACTTTTTACGTTTTTCCAAACAGTTGACCGACCAGATATCTCTCGTTTTTGAGTATCTTGCTTTTTCCTTTTGTTCCTTTTAGAAATTGAGCATCTTATTATTTCTTAAAAAAACAACAACATTTAGTCACATATAATAGCTATGGACTTTACGTGACTATATTTAGCAGACATCACGAGCCCTCTGTTTTGCACCGCCAACGACCGACAATTGATCGGGTCACGCGGTTCAAACGGAGAGGTGGAATGAAAGGTATGACCATAGTGACTATGGCCACAAATGAGCCAAAGAGATCATGGACCATTAATGTCGACCAACCTTTTCTCTTTTTAGAAGGTTTTACCTTTTCGATGCATCGAGGATATGCAACTTCTAGGTGAGATTAACACCAACATCATCAAAGAAATATAGAGCTAGCTGAAACATAAAATCATTTTAAGATCACAACAATCTCAAGAATATAGTGTGGTGGTTCATACCGTGACACCTTGAATCGACCGAGCAACGCTGTAGCGAGTCCACGCAACAATTGAGAGTACATACAATTTATTTAGTAGTATGCAAACTTTTGTTATGAAATTTGAAAGTGCATACAAAATTATGGTTCCATTTATATATTCAACAAAACCCATAATATCAAACCTTAAGGTCAAATTTTTTTTTTTTTTTGCCTAAAGTCCATAACAATGTTGAAACCGGCCCTATTTCGACCCTACTTTTTTTTTTCACTAAGAAAGTAAATATTTCATTGAAAATGAAAAAGTTTAAAAGTACAATCAAAGATTATAAACCTATACAAATGATCTAATGGCAAAAAAATAAAAACATCAAAGCATAAATTGAAATCCTCAAATTTCAGTCCATTAACTCAACATAAGCAACAAAGCGAATGGAATCAAATGAAGTGATTACGACTCTGAAGTTCTTCTTGATGAGATTAATTAAGAAGATGAAGGAAGACTAAGACCATTTCCAACAGGGAGTTTTTAAGAGGTTCTTAACATTAATTCTTACAAAAATTAAATGAATAATTAGCCTAAATAACCAGCTCTTATATAAGAGCCTAAGACGCACCCAACTCTTCTATAAGAGCCTAAGACTGTGACTGTGTTGACAAAGCGCTCACAGAACAGAACCATGAACCAACTTTTGCGATAGGTGCGAGCTCATTCTACCCTACTTTTAATGTAAGCTTTGAACAAAATCTGTATAACTTGCAAGTCAAGTTATATCTTTGTGACTTTCTTGATTATTTAAATTTGAATACCTTTTATTAAAAATAAAATTAAATAATTTTTTACGAAACCCTAATTAGTAAACACATATTTTATAAGGCTTTAGTTACTCTTCTCAGATTAAAAAAAGAAAAAACATAAAGACTTCTCTAGTGTACGCTCTCATCTAAAAATGGCCGCCAAATCTTTGGAAGCCTGCCGTTCCGTCTCGCCTATCCCTCTTATTCCAGGCGGTGGTACGTACCGTGCTGGCCAAGCAGCTTTTGGATACATGTGTCGTGGTAATCAAATGTTTGGTGATCGAATGTTTGCTCGAACTAAAATGTGGCGACGCTGGCACCGCCAAGCTAAGGCCAGTATGAAAAGAAATGCCGCCGTAGCCGCCGCTCGTCCTTTGATCTCCGTCCAGTAAGTACTATACGCCTACGGAAACATCACCGCAATTCCATTACCAGCCGTAATGATGGCTCCGGTTAGTCCACGCCCAAATCTCAAACAATAGTCGTCAACCTTACGCGGGGTCAAAACTCGTAGGTCACCAAACATCCGCCAAATCTTGGGGAACCGGACGTGTCATTTCACGTATCCCTCATGTTTCAGGTGGTGGTACATACCGTGCTGGTCAAGCAGCTTATGGAAACATGTGTCGGGTGGACGAATGTTTGCTCCAACTAAAATCTGGAGACGGTTGCACTGCCGTGTTAATGTCAATATAAAGAGACACGCCATGGTTTCGGCAATCGCTGCTACCGCAGTTCCGTCTCTAGTAATGGCTCGTGGTCACAAGATTGAGAATGTTCCAGAGTTCCCGCTTGTAGTTAGTGATTCGATTGAATCCGTTGAGGAAACTTCTGAGGCGGTTAAGGTTTTGAAGCGGATTGGTGCTTTCGCGGATGCAGAGAAAGCGAAAGATAGTGTTGGAGTTCATTCTGGTAAAGGTAAAATAAGGAGTCGTCGTTACATTTCTAGGAAAGGTCCATTGATTGTTTATAAAACTAAAGGATCGTTAGTGGAAGCTTTTAGGAACATTCAGGGATTGATATATGTAATGTAGAGAGATTGAGTCTATTGAAGTAAGCTCCTGGTGGTCATTTTGGTAGGTTTGTGATTTGGACTAAGTCTGCATTTGAGAAGCTTGAGTCTATTTACGGTTCGTTTGAGAAGTTATCGAAGAAGAAGAAAGGATATGTTTTGCCGCGGCCGAAGATGTTGAATGCTGATTTTGCTAGGATTATAAACTCTGATGAGTTTCAGAGTGTGGTGAAGCCAATGAAGAAGGATGTGAAGAGAAGTGCGATTATGAAGAATCCTGTGAAGAATTTGAATGTGATGGTTAAGCTTAATCGTTAAGCTAAGACCGCGAAGAGGATGTCTTTGTTGGCTGAAGCTCAGAGAGTGAAAGCAAAGAAGGAGAAGCTTGAGAAGAAGAGGAAACCCATTTCTAAGGTATTGTTATGCTCTGCTTGATTTCAATATGCATTCACTCAATAACTAGTTTTTGCTTCTCTATGTTCATATGATTAAAGGTTTTTTTTGTTATCTTGTGTGGTGTTTACAGGAGGAAGCAATGAAGATGGGAGCAGCAGGGAAGTCATGGTACAAGACCATGATGTCTGACAGTGACAACACCGAGTTTGACAACTTCTCTAAGTGGCTCGGTTCGAGTCAATGATTCTCTCGACTGTTGTATCTTTAGAGTAACTCTTAATCTACAGAAACAGTAATTTTATTTATCTTATTTGTTACCATTAATTTATTGTCTTTCGACATTAGCAAACAAAGTTATATAAGTAGATCGCTCTACTTCTTCATGTGAAAATTAAAATTACAACTAAGATTTCAATTCATTGCTGATGGAAAAACATTTTCCAATTGCCAAATGGTCATTGCAAGAATGCCTACATGCGAAAAACTGAGACTTCAAAAGGATTTGTTGTCTTGTAAATGGTTTGTTGTTACAAAGATGGAGAGGAAAATGTTTGCTTGTATAGGAAATTTGTTTATCACTTCTGGTGAATTCTTTTACGCATTTTGGGCTAATGACCTCCACCAACGTGATGTGGGTGAATTTACGATTGATTAACATCTCGTAAACTCGTAAGGCAACAAGTATAGCATGTATAGATTCTAAATGTTACAGAGACTGTCAATTCGTACAGATGAATAGATTGAAACAAGACATAAACATGTGTATCCCTCCCAATAAGTAAGGGAGGGTGTGCCGTAAACTTCACTTACATTACAATATCTTTTACGACTTTACTTCGAGCTTACCCCTAGAGTAACAACGAACTTATATAATTTACTTTTGTCGACTCCATCCTACTGTTGATCAAAAAGATCATTCATGTTTCTTTGTGGTAGATGCTTAACTCCGCATGTGTGTCCTTGTAACGCTGGGCGAGGTATGTCGAACATTTGATCGGTGGATATCTATTTATGCATAAAACATCATAAACATTTTAAGAAAACTGTTTACCAGTTAAAGGAATCAGTATAACACAAGGTAAATTCTTACTTAGGAAGTTCGCTTTCCGACTTGCAGGTTGGGAGACACTCTACGAGACAGTCATGATTTGGTTCCACAAAGAATGGAATCTGCATTGAGGAAACATTAGTTGCAACGTCAATGTTATATATATATCATTTTGCTAGACCCAATTCTGAACATGCAAACACAAAAATATACTGTTGAGAATATTATAAGCAAGCATTGGATATATGGCTAAAAACACCTCCCTAATAACCCTGCAAGATTGTAAAGATAAGACACAGATGGGCTATAGTATGGGCCTTACGGAATATCGTTCCTGACCGTTTCCAAGAACCCGATGCAACGTGGATCTGTAAGGTCATATTTATGTGAGAAAAATGTCAGCTAGAAGAACTTGATTCCAAAACACAATCAATTGTTAATTAGAAGTATTACTTGAAAAAGCCATTACTCCAACGTTCCAGCATATCGCCAAGATTCACGATAAATGCTCTGTAGACAGAGAAAATAAATAAATCCACCAAATTGACAAAATACTAATATGGATCAGATGCTAGTTAGTATATGATTCAAGGTTTAATAGATGATGGACCAATGAACAATAAGAAAGGTTGTTCGTTATACCCTTTAATCGGCGGTACATATTCCCACTTCTGAGGCGTTGCATTCTTATCTTTGCATATCTGCCATCAAGTTTTATTAAAATTCACATAACTAACCCGGTCATGTCAAAAGGTATGTAAATACGCAAAATCTGTGCTGCTTAAAACCTGGAGTCCCATTACACCATCGGTGGCTAACAGAGTCATCATTCCGAAATCTGAATGTGCCCCACATGCATATATTCCTTTCGAGGGATCAGAAATCCCTAAAGTCAACAAAAGAAGCCAATAGGATGAACATACAAAACTTAAGAACTCATAATGCTCTATGATCTTCACAAGACAATATATTACCTTGATACCGCAACAATCGCATAGTTGCAATAGGCTTTCCAAGCATCTCCGTCCTATCAAAGTATTCCACATCCAAGTCAAGTGCTAACGCCAATAGTCTTGCAATAGCCTTAGAAACCCTCCTGACCATACAAAAACGTTTTATCATATAGAAGGCCAAACTTTTGGTGAAATGATTTGTTCCTATAAATAATATATTCAACTAAACAAGCGAATTCCAGGACAAGGGCAAGTCAAAGATGAGACTTACAATGCTTCTTGATGATATTTCTCCATTGTTTCTCGCCAACCAGGTAAAACATCTAACCAAAAACATCGAGGTTTATTCAAAGAAAGTTCCATAAACAAAATCAACACATAAAAAAAAACACTAACCAGCATCAGGCCAAGGGTTAGGGCCATAAAATGGCTTATCCCAATGAGGATCATCTTTAGGAACTTCAATTCCAATGTAATAACCTTCTTTGTGATCCCCTAAAACCCCCAAAAAAAAAATTAATTCAACATCAAACAATAAAAAACACCTTCGAAATTAAACAAGAGGTGACACAAACCATTGACTTGATTCTTGGGATCTAATTTTTCATCAAGAACAGGTGTATAGCCTCTATGCTTTTCGTTTCTCAACACTTTCATCTTCTCCTCTAAAGGAAGAGCAAAAAACTTCTTGCTCTGCTCGAAAACATCTTCCATGAACTCTTCGTTTATCCCATGATTGATCACATAGAAAAATCCACAATCCAAACATGCCTAAAGCCATAATTACCCATATCATGGAATCAATTTTTTTTTTTGTTTTTTTAATGATCATAATTCATAACATGCAAAATCGAAAACTGAGATTGGAGATAAACCTGTTTAAGGGAAACAACTGAATGATGAAGATCATCGTTAGCTAGATCGATACAATTAAGAGATGAAACTTTCATGGTCGAGTCCTTCGTGTGATTCTCCATCTCAATCTCTTTTTCTCTGTCTGGTTTTTTTTTTCTTTTTTCTCTACTAACAAAAAAGGAATTGCAGCCTTCCCGACATTTCAGCTAGCTTGTTGTCAGAAAGCAAATGTGGTCAACAGCCTAATAATTAGTATCTAAATATGCCACTTTATGCATAGTTAATACGGAAAAATGTCATAAAAACATGACTTTACCAAAAAAGTGTTGAAAAAAATCATCAATTTTTGCTTTTGGTGAATTAAATTGCTAGTTTTATTTGAATTTTTTATTTAATCGTTATTTTTTGTTAATTTTGTTAAATAAGATACGTCGTTAAGTCAACTAACGGGGGTTAACGTTGACCTAACAACTTTCGTTAAACTATAACACGACCTCGTTTTGCTTTCGTTTTAGTGTTTAAAAATTAAAAACACAACTCCAAGAATTGAACCAGCCACCTCAATAGTGTAACAAACACTATTTGAACCATTGAGCTAAAGAATTTATGGAGGAGACAATAATATCAATAATTGAGATGTGTCTAAATAGTATAAAATTGAGGTAAGATATTTATGTTTGGCACCAATATATTGGTGGAACGATGTTTCAGATAATTAGAGAGACAATAAGTGAGAAAATAATATAATAATGGAACAAACGAAAATAGATATATATGCATAACATAGGCTAAAACCAATTCTTTATATTATAAAAAACAAGTTACTTGACAATAAAATTTTACCACCTAAATTTTGTCTAACAATTTAAAATATAAATAAAATCAAATATAAAAAGATGCATTACAAAAAAAAACACCACGTTCACCCATATCTCCAAATTTTACTTAACAATTATTACTTTAAAGAATACTAGATCATGACCCGCACGTACGTGCGGGGTTTCATATTTTAAATTTTTTTTAACAAAATTTAATTTAATATAGATTATTTTGTTGTTTTATGATATATATTTTAGTGTATTAGATCTGGATCCACGTACGTATAGAAATATTTTTATAGAAATTGTTATATAGATTTTAAAAATATAAAATATTTTGTTGTATTAGTGAACTTCGTAATATTATAAATATTATAAAGATAGAGTAATGAACAAAAATTCAGTTGCGTTAATGCATAATTATATTTTAAGATCTGGACTATAGTTGCAAAAGTTAAATGGTGTAATATTTTTATTTTCTTAACTAATCAAAACAGTTCTAACAGTTTGATTACATATGTTAAATAGGATATGAATTCGGTTTTAGTTTGAGTTATTTCATGTATATTAGCAAGGCGTAACTATTTTGGAACATGAAACATATCCCGTCCGGTATCTGTCATAAATTCTTTGTCCCATAACCTGTCACGTACACGTAAAATAAAATTATTACGGTCACATATCTATCATAAATAGAGTATGTGTAACTGAAATCGTATGTACATGCATGGTTATGTGTGTAAACAAATTTATTTTATCTAGTGCTCATAACCCAACTCATACCAGTTGGGTATTTAGTTTGATTTTTAATATATGTTCCCCTTCCATCTCGTCTCGTAATTTCTATTTCCATTTTATTCCATTAAAATATATACTTAGTTCACATTATTTCGAAAATTGTATGCAATATATTATGGATTGGTTTAAGGAAGATCCGGTTGAGAAGAAAAAAAAAACACAAAATATTTCGAAATTAATATGTACAATCTATTGTTTAGATATTTCCGAAACTTGCTCTAAATGAATGCCCAATATCGATTTTTTAGAAATTTTAAAATAAAATTTTATTTTATATTTCAAAATTTGTGAAAATATTATAACAAAACTGAGTGTTAAATATTTATATTTAATTTTTTATGAAATTTCAAATTCAATATTAAAATCCTCCATTGATAAAATTTTTTAAACTATAGTGTTTTTAATTTTGAATTAAAATGGTATTATTTTTCTTTTTATTTTTGATATAGAATAATTTATTAGGATTGGTTTAGATAAAATTTTAGTTGGATATCAAATCTTAGTTTTTCAATTCCCATTGGTTAACAACTTTTTTAGAAAAAAAATTAAATTTTCGTCCATAATTAATAAGAGAGAGAAAGTGAGTTTAATTTTTTGGAAACTAATAATTACTTTAAAGAATTTTGTTATTTTTTATTTAAATATATTATTTTGTGATTACTATTGTATCTTTAATGAATTTATTTAAAAACTAAAACCAATGGCATTTTTGTAATACTTTACACTTTATATATTTCTCCAAGACAAGTTTATTTATTAAATAAGAGTTTAAAAAACAAAAACGAAAAAAAAGCCTATTCTTCCCACATTTTCTATTTCTATAATTAACTTCTAACAATAATTGATTCACTACAACTGATTTTTGCAACTACTCACGACTTAAAGCTTTACTTGATCAAGATTTAAACATCATTATCATGTCTTTTATCAATTATCTTCAGTAATTTTTTTCCTTCGTCTATTTCAAATTTGAGCAAAAAGCTCCACTGAACCAGGTTATATATATGGATTCTCAAAATTATTTCATTGTTACTATAGTCTACAGTTTAATTAATGTCTCTTTTTGGAACCGGTTCTCACTCTTATCTCCCAACTAAATCCGGTAGAAATTTATTTCACTTTTCTAAATTCAAAGTTTTTGTCAAACAAGTTTCTTTAATGATTTGATATTTGCGCAAAACTTTAATTTCAGGCTCTTATTATGGTTATTGGTCCTCTAATCACTTCTTCTGTTTCAAGACAATCTTCCTTTGACGATTTTCCTTTACCTAGAAGACAATTCCAAAACAAGGCAGAATTTGAGGCACAATGAAAAATCATTAAAGGATAATTATAGCTAGATATATCGTTGAAAATAATTATTCTGGACAAAACACATATATAAAAAATCTAATTATTACTTCCGTCAAAATCATATTCAAAACTTTAGTTGAAGTTTCCATCACTATCACCAGGACAAACCCTCAATAGTCCTACCTCCAAAATTCGTATTTTTAGGTTTCAACTCGTCCACATACAAGTTAAGAAGAAGTTTGTCCACCACTATTAATGGAAAACACGAGAGATAAAACATCTTCCATAGGCAATACTTCTTTGTATACACTAAACTTATCAGCGCCGGTGACATTGAAGAGCTTAGATGACATCAACAACATGATAAACAATAAGAAGGGACAATGGTGGCTCATATCTTAGGATGAAATGAGACAGAAGAAGGCGACAACAATATTTCGAGTTGTGTATGACGACGACGGTAATGATAGCTCCAATGGTGACATCATAATCAAGAAAATCATATCTCTTCATCTTATTTTGGATATTATTAGATTCGAGATCGAAGAAGTAGAGAGATAAAAAGAGAAAGAGATAAAGATAAATAAGTAGGAAAAAAAAATCATTATGCGGTTATATCCTCTCTTTAAAGGATATATTTCACTCTTTTTCATTACAGAAGTAGTAATTCTGTTAGAATTTTTTTTTTTACATAATTTGGTATTTTGTTAGTTTTCTCTTGGATAAATGTGTGGTTTAGTTCATTTATGGTGGTTTTTTGGTGATTTTGAAAATATCGTCCAACTCGAGTAAAATGGACTTATGGTGGTTCAATGGCTTCACGATAAGGATTCATGGCGGTTTCAACAAAAAAATAGGCTCATGAAAAGGTTGAGATAAAGTAACATCAAAGAAGCTAGAGATTTGTTCTCGGAATTGTATTTATAATCTACACGACATAACATATAACTAACAGAAAAAGATTTATTGTGGTTTTAAGAAGGGGGTTTCGTTGTCCACACAAACTTTGGATGTCCGCGTTTAGATTACTGAGTGCTTCCATCAAATAAATAGACATTTTGTGGTCTGCTTTCCTATGGTCAGGCACTGAGTTGAATACAAAAAAACTAAAGTTTCGTGGAGTGATGTATGTGTGCCAAAGAAAGAGAGAGGGCTAGGGTTTCGATAACCAGAAGAAGCAAACAAGGTTAGTTGCCTAAAACTTATTTTAAGACTGTTGTCATGAAGCTCGATGTGGGTACAATGGCTAAGGTTATACATGCTACGTAAGGGTTCCTTTTGGTCACTAAGAGAAACATCAACCACATGATCTTGGATGTGAAAAAAATACCTAAGTATCGCAGCCTAGCTTCTGGTTTGTTGCGGTACAAGGTCCGTAATGGGAAGAGTGTCTCTTTTTGGCATGACAATTGTTCCCCTTTAGGACCTTTGATTGTGATCACGGGACAACGATGTTGTATTGACATGGGAATTGGTGTAAAAAACTAGGTGGCTGAAGCGACTCTGACACATAGACGACAAAGACACCGAGCGGATCATCTAGACCAAATGGTAACACTATTGGAGGAGCTTCGTAGCAAAGGGCTTGTTGAAACAGAGGACGTACGTGGTGCTTTGGAAAGGGAAGGGTGACCAGTTTAAAGTCAATTTCAACACAAAAGAGACATGGGCTGCAACACGGGAACAAATGCCAAAGCAAGAATGGTATCAAGGTATATGGTTCTCACATGCCACACCTAAATATTCAATCTTGGTTTGGCTTGCAACAAAAAATCGATTAACGACGGGAGATCACTACAAGAATAATAGGTTTTTATAGCACTATAACATAACGTTTGTGTGCTAAATGCTATGATTATGAAACCACTTTATTTAAGATAGCGTTTGTGTATTTTTAAACGCTATGGTATATTGTAATATTAAAAAATTTGGTCACGTTTTTTCTAAAACGCTTATTAATAGCAGACCCCTAATTTTAAACGTTATGATATGATTAGGCGGTAATAATTAAGAACCCGCGATACTTAGAAAATTTTTGGCTCTTCAGATCAAAATCCCCAAATTTCTTGACCTAAAATTTCTCCCTCTCGATTTTGGCTCGATTTTCGCCAAACCATTCATCAATCAGACTCGAGCCTCACAAATCTCAGTCACATGCCCTAAAATCTTCTCGTCTCCCACACAAATCTTCTCGTCTCCCACACAAATCTTCTCGTCTCCCACACAAATCTTCTCGTCGTCTCCCACTGTGAAAGCTCAATCGTCTCCCAGAGAAATCGCGTATCGATCTGAAATTCTTCTCGTCTCCAGCTTCAATCTCGTGTCTGTAACCAAATACACTTCAATCCAGCTTCCTCTTTCGCTTGTGGTGGTGTCTCGCTCGATTTACACAAATCTCGACTCTGTAACATACTTCAAATCCAGCTTCCTCTTTCGCCTCTTTTGGTGTTCTTGCCCGATTTGTACCAGGTATCTCACTTGTTCTCTATTGTTGTTGACGATATCAGATCTCGTCATTCTGTTGTTGTGGCTTAACTGGAATTGTTCTGTTGTTGATTGTGTATACACCTTTTGTCGGAGCTGTTGTTCCGATGGATAAAGCTTGGGTTTGGTTACCAAGGTAATCTCTGTCCCTCGATTTTTTTTACTATACTTCTTTGATTTCCTTGTGATAAAGCTTGAGTCTGAGATTTCTTTTTTGATTTCTTTGATTGCTAATAGGAATAGCCTTGAGTATGAGGAAGGAGCAACTAAGTTTGTGCTTGATGCAACAAGTTGTTTGGGTAATGTATTAGCTATGTTCTGTCCTTGCGTTGATTGCCGGAATGTGGTTCATCAGTCAAATGAGACAGTGTTGGAGCATCTAGTGATTAGAGGGATGGATCTTAAGTACAAGAGAAGCAAATGTTGGAGTAAACACGGGGAGATAAGTGATAAGACAGCAGATGTTCATGCGTCTGAAAATGAGGCTTATGACTTGTTTAGGACAGCTTTTATGGAAAGCGAGGGCAAGCAATCATCTCAGCAGAATAATGTAGAAGAGTCTGAAACAGTAGAGAGTAAAGAAGAAGGGGAGTTTAGGAAGAAGTTAGAGGATGCAGAAACTCCATTGTACTCTACATGTATGAACTACACAAAGGTTTCTGCAATCATGGGACTGTACAGGATAAAGGTCAAGAGTGGTATGTCAGAGAACTTTTTTGATCAGTTTCTGACACTAGTGCATGATATGCTACCTGGAGATAATGTGCTGCCTAAGTCTACAGATGAGATGAAGAAGTTTCTGAAGATTTTTGGTTTTGGTTATGATTCTATTCATGCTTGCAGAAATGATTGTATCCTCTATCGATAGAATGTTGAGTTGGAATACCAGGGTTAATCCTTCTTGTGTGTTCTGTCATGAATTACAGAAACCAGAAACCTTTTGTTGTTCACATGTCACTACTCAAGGGAATTTTGGTCAAGCCTCACCTCAAAACTTCTTACTCGACAGTACTCTACTATTCTCAAGCTCCTCACGGACAAGACATTGGAAAAGGATCGTTTGTTTCTGTTAAGATATACATTCCAGATTACCGTTTACTCCATATGGAAAGAAAAAAACAGTAGAAGATATGGCGAAAATCCACTTCAATCAATCCACTTACTAAAAAAGCTAGACAAGGATTTTCGAAACAGGAAATATTCCATAAGAGAGCAAGGAGATGGAAGATATAAAGGATGTATGGCGGTTTGGTTTGCAACAAGATAAGAAAGATCTGTTTTTTCTTTTTACCCATTTAGCATCTGATTTGTCAAAACGTTAAAGTTTTCGCTGCACTTGATGTAAAAATATTTTTTCGAATAAATTTTGCATTTTATTCAAAAAAAAAAAAAGGGGGTTTGGTTGACTTTTTGGATCAATAAATTCTCGAGAGGTATCTAATCCACTCATGCATAGTTAAATTAGGATTAATTAAACTTAATCATTTTAATAAAATGTTTCTTTAACAGTGATCCTTGTTTTGTAATGGTATGTTGCTTTAAAATGTCACAAACGAAAACCAAAACCTTAACAGTTGATTCGTTCCTCCTTTTACAGTTGTGCTTCACAATCATATATATGAAAAGAGGTCATTTCTCTCTATCAGTTTACCACGTCAGCACACAAATGATTGACATGTGTACACAATATTTTTTAACTTTCTAGTGATAAAGTCATTTAGCCAATTAAAAACCGCCACCTATGATCTCCAATTTTGCGATACCCTTACAATCATTTCGGATTCACTTCGAAAAAGCCACCGAAGCGTCCCCGGCGCCCATCTCTTCTACTGTTAAACAAAACGTTTCATATGTTCTTTTAAACACAATAGGATCTCAATAATTATAGGCCATAAAGAAACGAAATACCTATATATCTCCATCTTCGTCTGTTTTGCCTTTTGTGATTATCCTCTTATCCTTCAAAGAATATGATCCACTTCGTTTCATACCAAACCCACAATTCGGGTGAACAAGAACATGTCGTATGAATGTAGGGTTTGGCTGATATGGTGTAACTGTGACGTTGGCTAGCGACTTCATTAATCAAACTATATGCACATCAGATATGTGGTAGCCTTTTTTCGCAACTTTAACGGTGTAAGTTTCTGTCAAAGCAGTCATTAAGTAACACAACATATATGTTAAGTTGAGATTTCCATTACTATTTGTAGTAATTTTGGTTTAAATCCTCTGTTTCACTATATTTTGACGTTAGGGTTTCACATTCAAATCCATGGTTTCAATGGAGCTTTACATCTTCCTCTCTTCTCGGCTGTCCACTTCCAAAAAACCATTAACTTGCTGCAGATCGGAAGATAACTTAGCAACGCAGCCACATAGACAGCAATTAATACAGTAAACTTCACGATTCACTTCAATACAACTCCGATTAACAATCCGTAACCCATAGAATCATTTCGATGTTCATAAAACACCCAAACGATCAAACGCTAGCTCTCAAGATGAGAGAAACCTAGCAACAACAATAGATTCAAAGAAGAAGATAACAAACGTTTACAATTTTCTGGTTAATTCTCCACAAATGATCTTCAGCTCTGTTTATAGCTTCACGACTTGGTCAACATTCTTCTCCCAACTTCAGATTCACCCAATCATCCTTTGCCAAGTCACTACTCATATTCCCACCAATCAGCTCTTAAGAAACCTCCACGTCAGCCACTCTTATGCATCATTTTCCTGTATCAGCAATACAAGACCCATGTTTAAATCGAGTACTTACTAGCGATATGCGTTTTTACTGGCGCCTATACGTTTTGGATCTTTTAACCATGTGACCTACCAACGAAGATGACGGTGCATCTGATGACCTGAACGAGTATGTGCCCAATGCTCAAATTATAAACTTACCACAGAGCCAAAGATGCAGTTGTGTTGTACACCTCTTTCCCTACGTCCATTGAGCGAAACCATCTCGTAGCTTTAACAATGGTGGATGGATTCACATTCTTTAGCTAGGCACCTGAGCGGAGATATCGTAGGTCTGAACGTAGGATGCTGATCTTGGTTTCTTCATAGAAGGTCGAGGAAGATACGATAGAGAAGTGTTGTTATTTGCATCAAGGTGGGAGTCGAAAACTATAGGAAAAATCTAAGTTAGGAGTTGTATGGGTGTGGTTTGTCTTGGAAAGCATTAATTAGGTCTACCAATTTTCTAATTGGCTGGGAGAAGCTAAGAGTGTTTTACTCATTAGCTATATATATTTGCCAGGCGTTCATCACTTGTGGAAGATTGCTGCTGCAAGGGATATTGACTTGACAAGTAATTAAAGAAAAACTCTCACTTCTTATAGCAGTTTTAATGTTTGTCCAAATTATCATTTTCTTTTGTACGTATAGCATCAAATGTACGTGTAACTTCTTTACTTTCTTTGTGTTTGTTTTATAGGAATGAAAAGAACTTTCGATTAAGCAGAACTGTTCATGAATTTAATATGGTCTTTTTTTCTCAACCAAATGCTACTCTTCTCGTAGCAACAAAAGCAGTCTACATAATTTTTTTTTAACAATTTTTACGTATTCACCTAGTAACATTTAAAACTAGTATATTAATTATTTCCTTATCTATTGTACTAATTAAAACTCAACACTAATCAAAACCTAAAAAAATAGGGTAACAAAAGGAAATTAGGCGAGGTGAGTGATTGACCATCATCCAATGAAAAGCTGAATCGATAAGCTATGTACAAAGTACAAACACAGTTTGTTTCCGCAGCAAACAATGTTCACATGTTAAATAAAACCATCGCCATTGTATTCCGTTTTTTTATATTTTAAAATAGAGTAAGGTTTCTCCTCAATATACTCCAAAGATAGAATAATCCTATTATCTACTCTATTTTAGAATGAGATATAAAGTAGGGTTAGAAAGAATTTTAATCTACAATAAAGTTAAGAGAAAGAAAAAAACAATGTTACAAAAACAATCGTTTTTCAATCAACTCTATATTCCTCATCCTCGTAAGCCTAATCACTCATTTATGTAATAAACTTTGTCGCTTGTTCACGTAAGCCTAATTTCTCATTCATATAAACCACATTGTCAAATCCACTTCAGCTTAGGATCTCAACCAGATATATCTTATTACTCTGCCACATAAGCCTGGCACCTCGGATCGATATACAAGTCATATTGCATTATATATATATATATATATATATATATATATACTTATTCATAATACATTGATAAATCTGTTCTCTCATATTGAAAAACGAAAAAAAAGAAGTTGGAACGTTTATCAAAGTTATTGCAATACCTTCAAATAAAAAACATTCATAAGCCTTTGTAAGCAAATAATGTTTGAATCTTGAATTGTTATAAAGAAATGAATAGCTGGTTAAATTTATTTTAACAAATTTTAAAACGATCCTCTTAAAATAAATGATAAAGTGCATATAATCTTTCAGTTTCCATTATTAAAAATTACTGAAAAGCAAATCAAGTTTGAATCCGAAAGAGATTGTTTAAAACATAACATTTGCGAATACTTTAGAATAGAGAATAGAATGTTGAAAGATAAATTCAAGGTTTTGGCTCGTCATTTCCAGATTCTGTCTCCATATCTTCCAAATTATCGGATTCTGTCTCCTCATCGTCTGAACTCTCAGATTCCGTCTCCGACTCTCCTTGTTCTGATCCCGTCTCCTCATCATATCGTTCCGGAAATAAGTTGTTTCTTTCCATTGATAGTAAAAGGGGGTCGTCATGCCTTGTCATACAAATAAAAAAAAAAAGTTATTTCAAAGAATAATTGTGTTCTCAAATAATATATGAACTATTAAGAAAGCATACCAAAATAACACAATTGTATATTTAAATCTAAAATTTTAATTTCTAAAACTAAACCCTAAACTTAAATAGTGTATATTTGTTTATAATTTTAAAGCAATTAAACTTATATAATTTTTAGTTAAACAAAATATAGTTGAAATGAGGGGAAATAAAAAAACAATGTAGCATATATTTCACAGAACAATAAAAATCCAAGAACTAGTAAAGATCAAACAAAATGAAAAATATTTCAGATAAAAGATATAATAGTGAGTACCTTAGTATCCTGAGAGGATCCGGACCAAAATCAACATAGCAGACTGGACAACATTTCCAGTCATGTTGTGTTATCTTGCCATAAATGCATCTCCAGCAAACTGTTTACAAAGATTTAATAAAAAAAATTAGGTTAAGGTATTGAAATAAATTTGGAAAAATGTAGATATTCAATCAAAACAAATAAAACAGATATGAATCAAATAATTAAAGCCAAAAACATATATGTAGTGAAAAGTAAATCTAAAGAGAAGAACGAGTTTGAAGATAACCAAATTATTCATTCATACATATTTATATGCATATAAAAGATCTAAAGATTATAAATATACAAAGGATATAAAGCATAAATGAAGGCTCACATCAACTGATTCTAGTATTAGAAGAATTTAAGGTCGGAAACAACCAATGAGATAGGTAATGAGATGAATTTTGGACAGACATCGACTAATTCTCAATTATAAAAAAATTAGATTTTTTTTTACTGTTAAGGCATAAACGATATATAGTTAATGGTCATAAAACATTTAAATCCATATAAAATAATTTAATTAGAGGGAATTGAGGGCTCACATATGTGGTTGCATCTCTTTAGGGCTGTGGCTTGGTCCAACAAATTGTAACAGATAGCACAACTGTACAGCTTCCTTATCTCATCCTCCATCTCTGTTTCTTGCTGTCTCTTCAGATCCTACCAACAACAACAAAAACCAAACGAAATAAACCTTTTTTTTTGGAATAAAAACTGGATATTATATTTCAATATGATAGATTCTTTATAAAAAAAAAACTTTTATTAGAAAATCTCAACATCTAATCTAAACATGTAACATGATTATTTGATATCTAATATCTTAAGGGTGAGATAATTTCCTAAGTTTAAATTAAAACAGAAACCGTTAACAACCGTTGCCCGCGCTTTTTGAAAAAAATATCTTTTGCTTGCTTCTATTCATAATCTGAAGTTATTTGTTTTCAGTTTTCATAGTTGTTTTGAAAGAAGATCTGAATGGTTATATGGTTATTATGGTGTTTGTTGGATCTATTTGTTTAATAATTGTAGTAGCTAGAATATGTTAGTATTTAGTCTGCTATGCCTATCTGTTTGAGAATTACTTAGCTGATCTATAATATATATGAACAATTACATGCACACAACGAAAGAGAGAAATATATGTGTCAAACTGGTGTTCTTCGTAGATAAAACTACTAGATCTGTAGTTTTTACAACTACAATAGAGAGAAAAATATAAGTTCTTACAGATCTACAAGATGAAAAGGATCATACCTTTGTCTTCTACAAAAACTTATGTTTGTTTGAACTATTGTAAAGATTTCTTACAAAGCTAAACAAATCAATTGTAAGAAACAACAAATCTATTGTAAAATTGAAAACAAAAGAGAGAAATATAAGTTCTTACAAATCTACAAGATAAAAAGGAACATACCTTTGTCCTCTTCGTAGCAATGATAGCCTATATGACTGCTGTTTTATGTTTTATAAATTCCATCTTGTAACAATGATATATATAGTGTCAAAATAGAACTTTATGTAAATTAATTTGTTTTAAAATACTTCATATTTCATTTTAAAATTAAGAAAGAAATATTTTTTTTTTCTAAATTTCCATAAACGGAGGACTAAAGTTCATGAATCAAATATTCCTAATAAAGTGCAAGACCCAATTCAATTTTAGCACAATATAATGTAGACAGATTGTAGAATTAGTCTATATATTAAATTATTCCAAAAAGGCACTCTTTTTCAACTTAAAATAATTAAGTTCTTAAAATTTATCTTTTATACCTTTTACTTTTTTTGTTTTTTTTTTTGAAATATCACAGCTGGCCATATGAAAAACAGTCTACGAATATTGACTTATGTCTTTATATTCATATTAAGGAAAATAAATATAAAATTGGTATAGATTATGTAATTTTGTTTTTTGAACACCGATTATGGAAGTTCTATATTATTTTTTGCTGTATATTATTTATTCAAACTTCATACATTAATGGTTCCTTTGACTACCATATATTCATCTTTATCACTACATAGAAATTAGTTTCTTACAAAGTAGTGACGTTCGACATGTTTAGCTTTGACCACATCTTAGTATAATTTTAAATACAAATTAAGGTTACTACTAAAAAAATTGTTTTCATATTTTTTCATTTACTTTAACCTTTTGATTAAAATATATCAAAGTGATTTCAATTTTTTATACAAATCTTTTAGTTTATATTGCAAAATATATAAACTAAATGTATCAAATTTTAGTTATAGGGGTGCTAATATTTCCATAATCACAAATCTTTCAATTTTGAATTTGACCATTTCAGTTTTTCTAATTTTGTTTATTCTTTATAATGAAAAAGAAATTAAGTTGGCAAATTAAAGTGTTGCCTTCAAACTTACTGATATTCTTACGTTCTACTTAAAAATATACTACAATGCACAACAGTTCAGAATAGTATATGAGGGATCAAAACCGCATATACCAGATAAAGCAAATGCAGTATTTCGCTTATAAAAAATATATAATAGTGTAGAACTTTTGAAGAATCTATAAAAAAAACTAAAGATCATTGTTGCTTTGTATATGGCTCTCGCATTTGTAGACCTTGGAATCCACCAAAGGTTTACAACTCAATCTCAAGGCTTATGGCTTGAGTGAAGGGGGTGAAGGTAGAAGTAGACCCTGACAGATAGTGATTTTGATCCGTGTTAGGGATGAGCTTGTTGACTTCCTAGGGGTGTCCATGACTAGAAAAACGAAACTCTAGACTCATTTCGCAAGGGATAACCACGCTCAATACTTAGATAAGTAAAATATGATGATGAACCAAGAGACAATGCACAAATTTTTTGTCAAAAAAACTCTCGAGTATATTTTATAAAATGATTGGTAAATTAAAAAATTAAAAAAAAAAAAACAAACTAAAAGAGCTTATATAGGCTCAGTCTGATGTTCTAAAATGCTAAAGAACAAAATAAAAGGTGCAAAATTATAAGATATAGCCTTTATGCTTAAATAAGCTTATCTAGGCAAATAAGGAAAGTTGTGGTATCTTGAGTCTTGAGAGCTTGGGAGCGACTTTATGGTGTCTAGGTACATTCTGTATGATGGATAATGTAGGAATTCTTTATCACGGGTCCAAAATCATAGGGAAACAGCCGTTCGAAAATTAACTCTTTCAGTCCAAATAAAGTAATTAGTTCAGCTCAAGGTTGATCCGCGTGATCAAGTGGGGTTTGGACTGTTTGGTTCAGCTAGGCTTGTGTGGTGAGGTTTCTAGGTGAAGTGGAAACTCTTCTAGGTACTACACATGATTCTCAAGGATCCATTTAAGGAAATATCTAAATCACGTTGGATTTGGCCCATGGGGAGGACCGAAAAAGGCAACTTTCAATCTAATTCGAAACGGGCATGTTCGAACTCCATCAATCTGCTCCCAGTGGTTGATTTGCTGATGAATATTAAAGCCAAGATGAAATTACGTACCGAATGGATTTGGTTGGAGAAGATTTACATGGCTCAGTTAAGGCTCGTGGTAAGGGTTTGTGAACGAACTCCAAATCTAATCCATCCAATTGGAGTCTAGCTCAATCATTATTCACAAAATATGCATGTTTCTCAAGAATATTGAAGCCAAGATGAAATTGGTGGGTGAAATTGGCTGGAGATGATTTACATAGTTCTGTTAAGGCCCTAAGGGTTTGTGAACCAACTCCAAATCTGATCGATCCAATTGAAATATGACTCGATCACTCTTCACAAAATGGGCAACTTGGAGATGGATTTTGATGCCCACTCCATTTGGTCGAGTAGAACTTCATTTGGTCTAGTATCTCCTTGATGGCTCGGTTTGGGTGGTACAGTGATTGTACCGGCTTATCTTGTCAGCTCCTCATAAAACTTGGTACTAATACGTATATCAAACAAGCAGGGATAGAGTTGACATATAAAACAAAGAGGGTGAACTGATCATAAAAAGTGACCCAACAAGTATACCTCTAGAAGTTCAAGTTGAAGCCATGCATATGGAAGTCCTATCAAATTAAGAGATTAGGCTTCACAAGAGTTACATTTTGTAAAGACTCAGCTGCCCTCTACCATCCCCTCTTCAAGACCCAAACGAACGCCAATGGAATTAAATCTGGAGCCACACATCCACTTCTACCTATACAAGCGATGTTTAATTTGAAGAAAACCCTTAAAGAGAGGCAAACAATATAGCTGATGTCATAGTAAAAATGTTAATTATGTACTATATTAACATGATGTACTGTAACTTTTTATCTAAAAATGTACTTTTAAAACAATATTGAAACCTCAAAATTTGTATAATATTAAAGGGTTTAAGAGTTTTTTTTTTTTTTTTTTGGTATTAGGCATGTTTCTATTCACACGGCAACTAAATCAGGTTGCCACTGGATGGCCTTTATTTAATAATTCAGCTGATTGGTTGGGAGCTACTTTCTAACTCTTTGGATCGAATCTTGTCGGGTCAGTTAATTTTAGAAGTTGAAGAATAAAGATAAAATAAATGGGACCGACCTCATTGAAAAATCCAACTACCTTACACCCAACTCACAATCTCGGTCTATTAATAACGCCCAAAGACCAAACCATAGACCAAAAACATAAAAAAAAAAACTTAGATAACAAAGTTGTGTCTCTCTGAACCAGAAAGATAAGACGAAAAGGAGATCAATGGAGGAAGAATACAAAAGAGTAATAAACATAACAATTATTGGAGTAATCTCATGGGGTCTCATTTTCATCATCATAAGACGAATTTTCGCAAACTACTCGTTTGACTTCAGCACTCGTATAGTCTCGACGCTTCACGCAACAACTGCTGTCGCTTTAGCAACACTCTCGATTCAAGATTGGTCTTGTCCTGTTTGTCCCATTGCTTCTACATCATCTCTCCGGCAGATGGAAACATTGGCGTTTTCATTGTCTTACATGATCTATGATCTCATATGTAGCCACTTTGATCAAGTCATTAGCATTGATAATGCTGTTCATCATTCTGTTTGCATTCTTGGTTTTGTAGCTGGACTTTTCTACCAAAAGGTAAACTTCCCCTCTTTTTATTTTGTTTTAAATGGTAAGTTGTAGTCTTGTAGATTATGTACTATGAAATTTTGGATCTTAATTAACTATAAACTTATTTCTTGTGGATTTAAAGTGTGGATCCGAGATGGTGGCAGCACTTTGGATAACAGAGATCTCAAGTCCGTTTCTTCACCTTAGGGAGATTCTTAAAGAGATTGGTTATAGAGACACCGACCTAAATCTTGCAGCCGATGTGAGTAGTTTTTTTTTTTGGTAAAACGATGTGAGTAGTTTAAATACACATACATAGTTTTTAATGAATTATAATCAGTAGTTATTTAGTAATCCTTAGCAGAACACTTAATGAATTAGAATTAGTATTAACATTTAACTTGAGTTAATCCAAATCAAGAGCTGTTGATTATAAAATTGCTAGAGATAAATTTGTAATTAGTTAGCTACCATGTGGAAAATAGAAATCAGAACTATCATTTATAGGAATATATATAGTAATCTAAACCGTACACGTTAAGTGAAACATAGTCAAATCTTGCAAGTTCATGAGACGTTGAAATGAGAAATTCTAAATTTGGACATGTTATCTAAAAGATTTCTAATATTATGGCGGTAGAATTAATTAAGTAATAATAATAATAATAATTTTGTGTAGGTGTGTTTTGCAACAATTTTCTCGTTGGCCAGAATGGTGGGTGGACCTTACCTAGTTTACGTAACAATATCAGCTGATAATCCCATCCTCATCAAGGTACGTATATCTTAATATATGTTTTGGTCTTTACTTATCATCATTTCATCAATTACTCTATATATAATAGTTTTTATAAATATGTGAAACTTTTCAAAGGCCACTATATTGTTGTTGAAATAATAATTCTGTTTAGAAAAATTTGTGTACTATCCGATTGAATACTTCATGATCATAAATTTCAGTTGAGATATAACATATAATTATTTTTTTGTTCTTATTTTAGGCAATGGCGTTGGGATTACAACTTGTGAGCGCATTCTGGTTCTATAAAATCCTCAAAATGATGAGATACAAATTTATCAAAAGATCAATGTCCAACCAAAAATCTACTTAGTTGAAATTCCAAATATTCTATCATATATTATTTGACTCATATGCTTTTTCAGTTTTTCTATATGTAAATTAAATGTGAGGAATCAAAAGAAATGACTTAAACTTATAAATAAAAGATACGAAAATCCATAACATTTTATTAGTTAGAAGTTACTGGTTAGATATCATTCCAAACGAATATATAATTAATCCAGAAATAGGATTCGTTTCGAGATAAATATTGAACCCAACAAAAAAAATTAAGGTCAAAGTAAAAAAAAAACTCATGAACTGATTGTGCTATATTAACTTATTAAATCATTACATTTTTCTTTAGCCAAAAAAGGAAGAAGAAGGTAATAAATTTGTAATGAGCTATTCTTAAAAACAAATTAATTATAAAAACGCCGTTGACATATATTTTCAGAGCCGAGATTTGTCAGGAATCTTTTGATTAAGGAATAAGGATCACTTATAATCTTCGTTGACATAAACAACTGTCAACTTCTGTCTTTGTCAAAATCACAAGTAAACTAAAAAGAAAGGTAGAAAATCCATTATAAAAAGAAAGTAAGCATTGCATAATAGTGGAAAGAAATCTTCTACCAATAACCAAATCATGGTTAGATATTGACGGTTTTTCAATTTAGGTACACAATAATAAAAATTCGATACTAATAATATTATTGCAAAAAAATAATTTATTTTAGATTTTCACCCCATGACTGCTATGTTTCTTTAATTTTTTTTGATATAAAACTATGCTATGTTTCTTTAAATCTCTCAATTATTAATTTAGAATAAATTAGAATAATGTTTTCAATAATCATGTTATATTGGTCGTGGTATACGGGAAGTGGTGCTGCCTGGATTGGGTTGGGTTCTTGGAGACGGACGAGAGATTAGATTTTGGTATGATAAGTGGTTAACTGATGAACCATTGTGTGAGTTGGTAAACCGGGATCTACCTGCGGGTTTTCAAGAGGTCAGGGTTTATGACTTATGGCGGAATGGTTATGGGTGGGATTTTGCTCATGTGAAGCAGTTCACTTCGGAGAGTGTTAACTTGCGGCTTGCCTCGATGGTTGTGGATAATGTTACGGGAGCTAGGGATCGATACTCATGGTGGGCAAGTGTGAATGGTGAGTTTACGGTCAAATCAGCCTACTCCTTTCTTACCCTAGACAGTTCACCAAAACAGAACATGGGTAAGCTTTTTGATCGTGTATGGCGAGTGGTGGCACCGGAACGGGTGCGAGCTTTCATTTGGTTGGTGGTACATCAGGTGTTCATGACAAATGCTGAGAGATACCGGCGCCACTTGAGTGATACAAGTCTCTGTTCGGTTTGTAAGAGTGGTGAGGAAACTATATCGCATGTTCAGCGGGATTGTGAAGCTATGATGGGGATTTGGCGGAGAACAGTGGCTGCACGGAGAATCCAGCCTTTTATTGCGCAGTCGGTACTTGAATGGCTATATAGTAACTTGGGAGATGATGCGGATATGGAGGGCAGTCCCTGGTCGACGATGTTTGCTATGGGAATTTGGTGGGCATGGAAATGGCGTTGCGGTAATGTCTTTGGTACCGATTGGAAATGCAGGGATCGGGTGCGTTTTCTTAAGGACCAAACCAAAGAGGTGTATACAGCGAGCTTGAGTGTGTTGGAAGGTACTAGTCGGGCAGCACGGGAGGAGAGGCTGATCCAATGGGTACCGCCGGGTGAAGGTTGGACGAAACTAAATACCGACGGAGCTTCCCGTGGCAACCCGGGCCTGGCCACGGCGGGAGGCGTGCTGCGAGACGGGAATGGGAGTTGGGGAGGTGGATTCGCTTTGAACATTGGTATATGCTCGGCACCTTTAGCGGAGTTATGGGGTGTGTATTACGGGCTATATATAGCTTGGGAGAAGCGTATTACGAAATTGGAGTTGGAAGTTGATTCAGAGATAGTGGTGGGTTTCCTGAAGCACGGGATTAGTGATTCTCACCCGCTATCGTTCCTAGTACGTTTGTGCTATGGCTTTTTATCGAGGGACTGGATAGTCCGCATTTCGCATGTGTATAGGAAAGCTAACCGTCTAGCCGACGGGTTAGCAAACTATGCGTTTACTTTACCTTTAGGGTTTCATATGTTTGAGTCTAGACCGGATGTGGTCAATTCTATTTTTTTTTAGGACGTGAACGGGTCTGCGTACCCACGTTTTGTTCGCGTGTGACTCTTTTATTTCAGTTTAATAAATTATGGGGGACTTGTCCCCCTCTGTTTACCAAAAAAAAAATAAACATGTTATACACTGGTTTCAGTTCTGTTGGACAATATATATTCATTTTTAAGTAAAGTATAAACTAATTTCAGAAATGAGTATCCACTGCTAATTAGCGATTTAGCGTACAAACATCTTCTCGGCGTATTGTATCATGCTAGCAACATCAATTCCAAAGAGTTTTAGAGGGCTTCAAACTTCCAACTCTTCGAATCGAGCTTAGCATGTTCCACTTCCAGCTACAATTTTTCGAGTCGGGTGTCGGAATCAATGCTTATATCCATGTATTGCTGTAAATTAGAGTTAATGATGTTAGTCTGATCATACTATGTGGATATTACGTACAATAAATGTAAAGGCTAGATCCGTCGTTTGTCAATCCATAATATCTTCTCTTTACATTCCACAAAAAATGATTAATGTGATATCTTAATTCCCGAATTAAAAGCAAAATAGAAACTAATTATAACAAACAATCTAAACAAATGTCATATTCCTTGCAACATATCAAGTGCTCTTGTGCTAAAGCTGAGAGCAAGAGGGTTAGGAAGGCAAATATGGCCCATCAGAGGAGAGACTGGATTTCTTTAGCTGTGGAGGTATTGGTTGAATTGATCGACTTAAAATCTATGTTGTGCTTGTGTTTACTTATTTGATGTCTAAATCGTCACTTTTTTTTGCACCAGAAAACAGAATTGTATTGGAAGTATCGGAAAATCAGCATCCGAGACTTTGTTTACAAGGAGCTTGTCTTATATGGTAGGACTGCCATTAGAAAATGTATCTGTTGTATGGTAGCTGGGTTTAAGCCCTGCCAGAGAAAGACCATATATACTTTACTAAAAAGGGGATGCATGATGAACTAATTATAGACACTGTGACTGGTTTGGTTGCACAAGAAACAACTTACAGTCATAGCCCATCTTCTCTTTGCAGTATCACTCGAATGGTCAATTTGCTTGTAGCAGCAAGAGGCATATTTGGCACGAGATATTCAGTAAGTGGGTTTATCTAAACTTTTATTTCATCTAAACATTTTTCTTTTCTAAACTCGTAGATATAAAATTGTTAATGATTTTGTTATAGGGCGGAGATGATGTTGCAAAATGCTGATATCTTGCTCTCACGAGCAAACTATAGCTTCTTCAATAGAATTGCTACAGACACAAGTGATTTTTCTTTATTATTATCATTTATTTAAGTTAAAAATAGAGTACCCATAAAAGTGGGAAAATTACTTTTTAACATCTTTAAGGTTTTATAAAAAAATTGAAGTGTTGTCCAATCAAATCCACAATAACAATTTTAACCCAAAAAAAATGAATGTAACATTACGTTCCCATCATAATAATATTACACTAATTAATCACTTTTAATCAAACCTAGATTTCGAGTACAAACATACTTGGGTTCACTCCTAGGGATGAATTTTTGCATTCACCTCCTCTTATTCTAACCAATCAGAATCTATCACTTAATAAAAATAAAATAAATTCATTTAATAAAATAATCTTCCACCAAAATGAAGTTATATATCGGTTTAGGTTTATAAGAGAGGGTTAGGGTTTAGATTTTATAATTTAACGAGTTTAAATATTGGTTTGGATTTATTAACAGATTTAGATCTACAATTAAACGAGGTTAAATGTCGGTTTGAGTTTATAAAGAACGGTTAGGATTTAGATTATACAATTACACGTGGTTAAATGTCGGTTTAGGTTCATAAAAAATGATTAGGATTTAGATTTTGTAATTAAAAGAGATTATGTGTCGGTTTTGATTTATAAAAAAGTGGTTAGAGTTTAGATTTTACAATTAAATGAATTTAATTTTTTTAATTAGATGATAGATTTTGATTGATTGGAATAAGAGGAGGTGAATAAAAGGATTCACCTCTAGAATTGCTCTTTTGAGTGGATGTCGCTAGCAAACAAACCAACAGATGATGGTGGTCTAAAACCTTTCCGAAAACCTAACTCTCGAATATCAAACGGATTTTTGTTTTTTGTTAATGTTTTGGAAAATTTCTCATAATCTAGAGTATGTAAAGGTTTACGAAAAAAAACAAAACCTTATCTTTACCCTTATTTTTTCGATATAATTATTTTACGAAATAGTAATGTAATGTGTCTAATTATTGATTGTCTTTCCCTTTTCATTTTTATAAAGACACACATATTTGGCCCAATAAAAATACATACATACATAAAATAAATCATATACTATTATTTCATTAAAAATAAACACATTTAGCAATTTTCTTTTCTTTCTACTTATATTAATTTTATACTTAATTTTCTAAATATTTATTCATTCAACAAATATATAGTGAACCAAAATCTTTTTAATCAATTGAAAACAATTATCTATATAATCCTAGATAGTACTCTTTTAAAATTACAATTAAACCATATGCAAATTTACACATTCATAAATCGTTACTTACTCAAATGTATGTTTTCCCAATCTAATTGCTTAAATTTGAAACCTAAAAAATGCTTATTGTAAACAATATAATATATAGATATAGATTTCTTAAAAAGAGTATACAATTTTAATCGTTTATAACTATAGATAATCATCAAAAAATTTACATTATAATTTTAAATTAACATATAGTCATGCGGTGTACCGCGGGTCATATTCTAGTTTTTAAGTAAAGTTGAAGAAAATTTCAAAAATGGGTATCCACTGCTAATTAGCGTACAAACATCTTCTCGGCGAAATATATATCATGCTAACAGTTGCAATTCCAAAGAATTTTAGAGGGCTTCAAACTTCCAACGGTTCGAATCGAGCTTAGCATGTTCCAGGCTTCCAGCTACATTTTTCCGAGTCGGGTCTCAGAATCAATGCTTTTATATACCTTCAAAAGATGCATTCGTCAGTTCAAAAAAAAATTCTTATATGCATGTATCGCTGTAAATTAGAGTTAACGATGTTAGTCTAATGACACTACGTGGATATTACGTAGAATAAATGTAAAGACTAGATCTATCATTTGTCAATCCCTAATATCTTCTATTTACATTACTATTTTGTTCGAAAAATTGCTAGGTGCTAGTCGGGCGTTCGGTATGGACCTATCAATTAATTGAAAACTCGGATTAAAATCAAGGATTAATCGGAGACTATTTTTAGGGTTATTTAATGTTTTAAAAACATATTAACCTATTATAATTAAATTTTTAAATATTTTTTTTCAAAATTGCAGTTAACACATAAAAATAAACTCTCTATGAAAATTATTTTAACACATCACAAACTCTCCATCTAAATGTTTGAATAGCAAAAAGAAAAATTGTTTTATACTTCCAATCTAAAAATAATCGGGGTATGCAAGATTAGGTGGGGAATTAATCGGATCAGGCTGTGAGTAATCGGATTAGGCGGGGAGTAATCTGATTAGGGAGAGAGTAATCGGATGACTGATTTCTTCAAGGGATTAGTCATTGATCGAGGTAGATAAGGTGAACCTAGCAACTAAGCGGGGAGTAATCAGAACTAGACGATAATTTTAGAACAAAGCTATATATATATTTTCTCTAATCTAATAATATCATTCAGTCTCATAAACTGTGGTATCAGAGCAAAAATATACCTAAACCTAAATTTTTCTATTGGCCGCCACTTTCTTTTTCAACATTTTCTTCTTCTCTTCAACAATGTCTAACATATCTTCTCTGGGCCTCTGGCCAGCAACAGCGAGACTATCACTATTTATCATTCTCAAAGTTTTCTCAACATTAATATGACCATTTTTTTGTCGTTATAAAATCATATTTCCCTAAAATAAAACTACACATTTCTTTTGTTGGCATCTGTAGCCATATCAAATAGTCTACGTAGATGGCAATATGTTTCCTTAAAAAGAAGTATTTTAACAGGTACCTGAGAAGGTTAACAGAGGAAAAAACTGTTAAACTGTTTGTTGATTAAACTAAGGCAAAAAGTCTTGTTTGCGGCAATAAGGGTTCGATCCCCGTGTAATTGTTTTTTCTTCTTCTTGATTTCCTTCCTAGTACACACCAACCATTGCTTCTCATACACTCCGCCAAAGCCGCAAGGAACAGAGGGATGCTCTTCTGGAATTCAAAGATGATCCAATCGTCGGTATAACGCAAGTGCTAATTACCAATTGTTAAGCTCAAGGAACAAGTGAGTGTTGTTCTTGGGAGGGTGTGATGCATTAGCAAGCATTCATTCTTAAACAGTGTAAACTGCGTAACCTAAGCAAACTCAGAAAACACAATTGCAAACGCAGTCGCATTTGTACAAAAGCATCACCGGATGAATGGCAAATCATTAATAAGAGAGAATACTGAGTTTCGGTACAAGGCATAAGCCCGAAATGCAATCAATCAAGAGAAGAAAAAAAAAGAAACAGAAATCCAGTAGCATCCACGATTAAGAAAAGCAAACAAAGGACAAGAATTAGACGGCCTTAGAAGCTTCGGGGATAGCAAAGGAAGATTAGAAAACAAACACCAAGCAGAAACATAATAATTGCATAACTTAAGAATACTGAAAAAAAGAAACCACAAACTTAGGTCTCCTTCTGTTCTTCAGCAGGCTTTGGTGCTGCTGCTTCTTTGATCTCCTCCGGACTTTCGTCCTGATTAATCATCGAAAGTAACACAACAGAATCAGATCAAGACAAGGAGGCACATGAGTGTATTATCATAATGCATAACTAAACCATTTGATGTCAAAGCTTATGAACAATGTGTGTGCACAATTTCAGCATCTTTGATTATATTTTGAGAACGATTTCCGAAGAAAAAACACCAAATCATGAGCCACCACTAAGGCTATCCATCATATCTATTATCAGCAATGAACTATGTTGGTGGACAATTCCAAAACTTTTCTATCATACCCATTATCAGCAGTTTCTAGTTTTTACTGAAGCAAAGAACGGGTTCGTTTCAACGGATCAAAGATTCGTTACCTGCATGTCAGAAGTCCAGAGAGTAAGATTGTCACGAAGAAGCTGCATGATCAAGGTACTATCCTTGTAAGACTCCTCTCCAAGAGTATCCAACTCAGCAATGGCTTCATCAAACGCCTGTTATACCCCAAAATCAACACACATAGAGTACCAACACAATGAATCAAACCCAAATAGATCAGAAACTTTTCATCACCTGCTTAGCGAGATTACAAGCACGGTCAGGAGAATTGAGAATCTCATAGTAAAACACAGAGAAATTCAACGCCAAACCAAGACGAATCGGATGCGTTGGAGGCAATTCAGAATTAGCAATATCCTACAACAGAACAAATCCACAAAGACGTAATCATGATTTGACCTAGAAACTCAAAACCATAGATCCAACAAATTCCAGATCGGAGAATAACCTGAGCAGCTTTGTAAGCGGTGAGAGTATGTTCAGCAGCATCTTTCCTCTCTTGACCAGTCTTAAACTCAGCCAAATACCTATGATAATCTCCCTTCATCTTAAGGTAAAAAACCTTCGAATCTCCATTAGCAGAAGCCGGAACAAGTCTAGTATCAAGAAGCTTAAGAATACCGTCACAGATTTTCGATAACTCAGATTCGATCTTGCTTCTGTAATCACGGATCGTGGTTACATGGTCATCGTTACCACGACTCTCTTCTTTTTGTTCAATGGAAGAGATGATTCTCCAGGAAGCACGACGAGCGCCGATGACGTTTTTGTAAGCGACGGAGAGGAGATTACGTTCTTCGACGGTGAGTTCGTCTTTGTCGACGGCTTCAGCGACTTTTTCCATGAATTCAACCATTTCTTCGTAACGTTCCGCTTGTTCAGCGAGTTTTGCGAGGTAGACGAACTCTTCCCTCGCCGAGGATGATGCTGGTGGTGCCGCCATTAGAGATCGGAGATTGAAGGATTCAGATCTGAGAGAGATTGAGAGAGAGAAGAGAGAGATTTGTTTTTTTTTTGGTTTCGAATTTCGTTTTTTTTTTTGTTGAGGTCAAAAAGATATTTTTGTTTTTTTGGTTTTTTTAATTTTGGGGTGTGAGTGGGGAGCGACGATTGCGAAAGGAGATGGAAGGAGAACCGTTGGATTTATCTGTTTCACGGGAATTTTCAATATCTCTTTTGCCTTTTCTGATACTTTTTGGGTCGGTTTTATGTAAAAAAAAGGTAACTTTTCTTAATGGGCCTTTTGGTCTATGTTGACGTTTAGGTCTCACGATAAATATTAAATAATGTGATAAATGAAGATTTTCACTAGAGCAATCATAATGGATTAAATTTCAACAATTCAAAAAGATATCAACCCATTCCATTGTTATGAAAATCCAAAAATTATTTGATGAAGGTCCTATCCTTTGAAGTGTTGTTTCGATCCTTTCGATGGTTCGGTCCCATCCTACAAGTGAAGGTCCTGAACAACGTAGAAATTGCTCGAAGAAGCTTCTACAAGTTTGCATGAAAACCAGATTGAGTAGTGGTCTATCTTACGTTATAGAACGACAATGACTTAGCTTTGAGCTAGTCCTTTTTTCATCACCATATTTGACTCATCTTTCTTTTGAGTTGCAAAACTTTGTTCAGTGGTAGTGGTGATCGTTCATGGATCTACTCTATTTTTCATGTTCGCTTAAGCGTCTATTTCCTACCAATTTTCTACGATATTGGTCGTAAGAAAACGCTGCATTTCTTGTAGCTTGTACGTATTTTATTTTGTTAAGATTGTAAATATTTCAAATTTCAACCTTTTCTTTTTGCCAAAGAAAGATCGAAACGAGTTTGAAAGGATACATCCATCAATGATGCATCCATGTGGGAAGTTGTGGAATTTGTTGCATTTCAATCGAAGAGAGTTAGTAGCAAGACTTTTTTCTTTCGATCATTAAAAAAAATACTATAGTACACTTTTTGCAATTATTGAGAGATTTATAGCTTTTAAAAAATCAAAAAGTCTTTGACTCTTACAGTAAAACATATTTAAATTAGGAGTCGATAAATTAATAGTTGTTATAAATTTTTACGATCTTGAATTAGCCATTGTAGTATTTAACAAAATTCGATAGAATAATAAAATAATACTCTTAAAAATCTTATGTAATTAAATGGTCTTATCAATATTATAAATTAATAATTATATATATAAAAAATATTTAGTGAAATATAACTCAAATATTGTTTGTTTTTCTTAAATTTGCATTAATTCTTAATATAATTCATTTCTAATATGTTTACTGCATCAAAAAAAAAATTTGGTGTTGTTTTCAAGACATAATAATTATTTTTTTACTTATAAGTGGTTCTACAATAATATTAATTATAACCAAAAAACTTATTTTCAGATAGAAAAGTCTTAAGAAAGTACAAATTTAGATAATTTTCTCTATAAATTTATAATTGCTATAAAAAATTTCGATCTTGAATCAGCCATTATAATATTTAACAAAATTTGATAGACTAATAAAATAATACTCTTGAAAAATCTTTATGTCAATATATGGTCTTATCAATATCATAAATTAATAATTATATAAACATATCAAAAGATATATATATATATATATATATATATAAGAATATTTAGTGAAATATGACTCAAATATTGTTTGTTCTTCTTAAATTTGCATTAATTCTTGATATAATTAATTTCTAATATGTTTATTGCATCAAAAAATTGGTGTTGTTTTCAAGACATAATTACTTTTTTACTTATAATTGGTTCTACAATAATATTGATTATAACGAAAAAAACTTTTTTCAGTTAGAAAAGTTTTAAGAAAGTACATATTTAAGTAAATTCTCTATAAATAAATACATTATCTATAAATTTATACCTCTTTAAATTAACAAAATATCTTACACCCAAAATGGGATTTGGGATCCAAATCCAAATATCAAAATCTCACGAATAAAAAAAAACACATAATTTATAGTGGTTTCATCCTCAACGTGAGAGATATGTTTACTTTCTACCCAAAAAAAAAAAATGTTTACTTTCTACTGCTGCTAATTTTACCAATGTGAAAAAAATTTCTGAGAGTTACAAGTTTTTGCAATCTCACATTCTACAACTCTCTATCTTGAGTAATAATTAGAAACGACTATAAATTAAATAATTAATACATATGAAAAAAAAAAAATCTAGCACAAACGACATGTATAAACTAGATTCTATACACGAAATACCTTAAATCAAACGTCTCTTATATTTTATGTGTTAATTCTGACAGAGTGATCATGCGAAATACAATAATTCTTTCCTTTTCATTTTTCTAACTTTATGACCATTGATCAAGATTTGTTCACATATATTGGAAGATTACTATTTAAAGAACTGGTCAGCTGATTTCGATGAGGCTTTTCCGAACAAAATTGACTTTTGCTTCCATTAAGTGAGCACAGCCCATTAATTTCTTTTTAGGTGAAGTGAACACACCTATGATTAAAATGCTTTAATTAAAATGTTCTCCTGAATGCAAGTGATTATAAATTTAGAGTGCAAGACTACAATATTTGGGTGTGAATTATGTTTTCACTTGCCAGTTCATACAATTTTTAAGAAAATATATTCATAATATTTTGTGAAATATTTAGAAAATGGGAAAACACGTTAAGAAAGCCGTAGTTAATAGCAAATGATTTCATTACTAATTCGTGTTACAAAAGAATAATTAAAAAGACGACCAAAAGAATATATCAAGTATAAACAAAAAAAAAAACCTCGTATCTAATGTAATTATGTTATTCAAAACATAGTCGAGCAAGTAGATGTTTTGGGGTCAAACAAAGCCGGTAGCAAATATTTCCTCCCATTCAATCCCTTAGCGTTATAACTCCCACCGGTCGTTGCATCCACAAGTAACTCTCCAGCATAACCTGGATACGAACCTTTCCCATAGACTCCAGTGCAAGCCGATCCAGCTTCAAGCGGTGCCGTTTTAGGCCCTTGGTAATACCCATCTCCGAATGGGTTCGTTGCGGTCGCAGCCATTAGACTTGCCAAGTTAATCACCATCCCATCTAAACCAACGTCGTTGTTTGGTGCCACAAGTGGTGGGCTTTGCGGTCCGTAAACCGGCGCGTGGAATGGCCACGCGCATTGTCCTGGACATTGTTTCTCTGAGTTTCCGACCCAGATGTAAGCGAATTTTGATCCTTTCTTGCCTGACCCGGAACCTGACCCGTGTGACCCGCATCTGTTCATGCAAAAGCCTTGGACAGACACGTCAGCTGAGGTCAACACCACGTTAACCGCATAGCTTTGACCGCCTTTTGCGGCCAAGGCTTTGAGGTTTCCCTCTGTTAAAGATTTTCCCATTGAGTATCCTTCGTCGAGAATCTGTTCTCCGAGTGAGAGCGTGAGTCCACGTGTCATCGTCGTCGTCTTGCTGACATGGTAATACTTCTCCACCGTTTTCCACCACGTGGCGACTGAGGGAGCAACTGTCGATCTGCGGGAAGACGAGAGGGAAGCAACGAAGTCGGTTACGATTGCACGCTGCGACGGTTTAAACTTACCGTACCATATCAGGTTGATGGAGACGTCTCCGGTAAGGAGGGCTCCTTTATGGTACTGAAACGACGTATAATCTTGCGTTTTGTCCGTCCTCGCATCCAAACACACGAACGCAACAGCGAACAATAAGAAGTAACCCATCACAAAAGTCGCCATTTCTGTAATATAGAAGCAACAAAACAAAGAGATCAATAAAGCTTTGATAAGTAAGAAAGAGCTTGGAGGTAGTAGTGATGTGTATCAATGTATGAGTTTGTGAGTTTATGAGTTTGTGTTGTGTGTGTTTATATATGAGAAGATGAGAAGGGTAAAAAGGGAAATATAAAAAGAGATAGAAACCTAACCAAGATTTGGTTGCCAGTTAGGCAAAAGAGCGCGTTTGGAGATTTACAGTAAGAAAACAGCTAAGTGTTTTTGGGAAACAGAATTGAAGACAAAAATGAAACCGCGGGTACAAAGTCAAGAAGGTTTGGTTGGACTAATATTTAAATAAAAATGACTATATATTATATGCAAAAATAAAGTTGTGGTATCTAAAATTTGATACAGCTGGAGAAAATGCAGAGTTTATGCGGCAGAGAGTGGGAGTTAATTGATAAAATTAGTGCAGAAAAGACTATTACTTGATTAACAAATACTCACGAGAATGAAAACAGCCAAGTGTTTTGGGAAATAAAACTGTAGACAAAAATAAACCGTAGACAAAACAGCCAAGTGTTTTGGAAGAAAGTCTCGATCAGTAAGGTTCGGTTGGACTAATATATGAATAAAATGACTATGTATATACTCCCTCCGTATTTTAATAATTGTCGTTTTAGGATTTTTATTTTTTTGAATTGGATGTCGTTTTCAAATTTCTATGCAAAATTTATTACTTTTTAATGTTTTATGACATCATAAAACATTAAAAAGTAAGAAATTTTGCATTGAAATTTGAAAACGACATCTAATTTTTTAAAAAAGAAAATCCTAAAACGACATTTATTAAAATACGGAGGGAGTATATATTATACGCTTTTTTTTGTGGTATCTAAAATTAGATACAGCTGGAGAAAGTGCAGGATTTATGTGGCGAAGGGCAGGAGCTGATAAATAAAGTTAGGCAAGGAAAAAAAAGACTTACATACATGATTAACAAAAATATCCATGAGGTAATAAGATATAGCCAATGAATGGTTTGTTGAGTTTTTGTTCTAAATTATTTATTGTAAGGCTGGATCTATAGATTTTGTTGTTGTAACTTTAGTTCTTTTGGTATGAATTTATTTTCTACTATCCATATGTAGTTATTTTAAGAAAAAGTTAAAACAATATTTAGATCTGAAACAACGCTAAAATAAAAAATCACTATGCGGAAAGCTAAAAGATACTTAATGAAAAAATTCACTTAAACGTCATGTCTCGGATATAATGAAACATATAAAACATACCCAAAACTTATATTTTTTTTTCTTTCATAAAGAATAAAAACCTAATTTCTTGTCTTCTCTCTTCTTCGCGGGATCCAGAAAATCTTCTTCTCTTCTCTTGGAATTTTGATTTGTGAGTACGACAGTTTTGATAAGTGGTTCATGATGTAACCTTGTCCGTGTGAAAAGAATAGACATAAAAAAGTTCAACCACAAAAGCTCATAACCTAATCGAAAGAGAAAATCGTTGCATGTTCTGTTGATTTCTTTCAAAACAATATTTGATTTAAGGTTGCATTTATTGTACAAAGGACTTTTTTTGGGTTGAATAAATTTTACATTTATTCAAAAAAAAAAAAAAAATCGTTACAAAAATGGTCAGCCAAGATAAACCAAGGAAACAAATAGTTCCTTCTTTATTTCTCTTTGTACGCAAGAGACTTGGAACAAAAACATTTAAAGAAAACTATCAAAAATGCTAAATTTAAAGAAACACTATGAAATGATAAACATAAAAAACGTCTTAGTATCTTATTTTGTATATTAAATCAAACACCAACCAAACGATATTGTAGTAATAGACCACAACTTCAATCAAATAGAAGCTGACAAGTACGTGAACCCCTTGGCGACAATGACAACACCTTGATCATCTCAAGTTTTTTGTTAGGGTCAGTGGAGTTAGAGGAGATAGTTGCCTTTTTTAAACAGTTTGCGTTTCTTAAGATGAATGCTGCTACTTCTTTCTCAACTTCAGTTCCATCATATTGTTCCCACTCGAGATTTTCAAGACTCGATAATAGACATTCGGGAACTAAGCTTGGTTCATTCCAGCACGCAAGCGATTCGTCGGTCAGATCATGGCACTGATATAAGTAGATTAGGTTAAAAAAACATATATACATGGTCAAGGAAAATGAACAGTTCATGTTTAGATGTATGTACCAAGTTAAGTTCGAGATCTCGCAAATTAGGGGCAACTCTTAGCATACACATTAGTAGATCCACCCACTCTGTGTGACATGTGCATATGTTTAAGGTTACAAGAGAGTAGAAGACAGGATATTCATCCTGCATAAGAGACAACATATTTTAATTATCACTAGAAATTTTTTTGTTAGATTAATACTTAGCCATATATATATAATCTGATTCCGGTAACAAGATAAAGAGTACATGAGGTAGGTAACCAAAAAAAGTATACCTTTGAAGGGAGTAAACATAAATCGAGACGCTTGGCAGAAGTAATAGACCCTAGAATGTTTCCAGGAAGAATGTAATAAGAGATATCAATATCTGCCTCTTCCATCTTATGCATATTATTCTCAATGAAACAAAATTCACCATCATCATCACAAATATCCAAGTATTCCAAAGAAGGAGCATCTATCACACATCCATGAGGATCATCATCTTCATATATATGTCGTGATGTTTGCAAGACTAAACTCTTTAGAGAAGGACCTCTAATGGTGAAAGTAATCACATTGTCATCTGGACATTGTTCCAAAACCAAGTCTTCAAGAACATGACAACTAGATAAAAGACTACTCAGAAATTCGTCACCGGGGTACTTCACGGATACAAGAACCAATGATTTGAGGGAAGGAAAAGACACATGTGAAGAAGCATCCACAAGAATCACATTATTAAGTTCCAATGTGACTAGCATTCTACACTCCGTGTACAAACTCTTTGGAAGTATGAGTGGAGATGGTCTAGAAGAACTATCGATCTCGATAATGACTTCACGCACAGAGCTTTTATCAGAAGCTCTAATACACTTTGGAATATCTTCTTCACGACAAGTTTTACCAAGTTTAAAATGCAAAGTTTCGAGAATTGGAGCCTTGTGCAAAACCAAAGACTTATCTACAAAGTGCAAAAATCTTTGTATATTCTTATAGCTATCATCGTATACAAGTCTTGGCACCATCATCCAAAGGAATCTCCAACGTTTAGATAGAATCATTGTGGCCACAACATCTTTCGTTGGTAGTAACGACAATATTTCTAAGAGCAAAGCATCAGGCAATTGACTTAACCTATCCGGTCCCTTTTGGAATTTCAATTGTTCTTTGCCAAGGCCACAAAGCCAAAACCAGACACGAGAAAACATTGAAAAGACAGCAAGGCGTGAGAGATTCTAAGTGTTTGTTTTATGTTTTCCTCAGGAACCAAACATAAGAGTTTGAAGCAACGACGCAGGTCATTAGGTCAATCAAGCAACGATGATCACGTCTGTGTATAACTCGTGATATTAACTGATTCCTTTTTGATATTATCTTACTATATTTTTTTTGAGATTTTATACATATTAATGTTTTCCACACTTCTGATAAAGATTCATAAATATTTCTTTAAATCATTATAAATATCTGCTATTAAAGATATTAGATATTATCTCCATCATTTTTTTTACGTTTTATAATATATTACATATATGTTTAATATCAAGATTAAATTGGCCAAATGTATTGAATTTTTAAAAACAATGTATTCTTATTTAAGAAATTATTTTTGAGGATTAGAAATATAAAAAATACAGAAAAAATATTTTAAATTAATCCTTATCTAATAAATCACAAGTAGATTTTCAAGTAACTGCAACATTCTCCATATGACACGTGGCTTAAGTCCAAATCCTTTATCTTTCAGCTTTTTAAACAATTAAATTTTAATTAATTTTAAATAAACAAAAAAAAAATGTCGAGAAAACTTTTTTCTTTTGGATACAACAGCAATCCCTTCTTCTCCCACGATCTCAAAATCAATCTCCACTTCTCAACAATATAACAACGACATGGCCCTTTCAGATCAATTCTCACCCTTCATCCACGATTTCTGAGATCAAAAACCAGAATTTTTTTTTGGGCTTTCTTTTAGAAACTTCTTCTTAACTGAGATTTCTTAAATCTCTATTGTCTCTCTCTCTCTCACAGCCTCTGTCGTTTGATTTGTATCAAAGGTAACAACAATTTGTTCTTATTCTTCTTAATTTTTGAATTGATCTTCTCCTTCTGGATGAAAAGGTATTCTAAATTTACATCATTTCCATGTTGTCATCACAAACGATCACTTAATTTTATTAACAACTCTATGTGACAAGTTTTGCGTTTGAATTTGAAACAGGGAACTAGAATACAAGCTTCTGTAAAAGGAAAATTACTCTCAAAATTCCAGAAGGACTTAAAAGAAGGGGAATGTTGTGTTCTTATGAACTTTGAATTATGCCCATGATCTTGGAAAGTTTTGGAGTTGTGACCATCCTTACAAGATCAATTTCATATTCAACACACTTGTTAAACCAAGTGAGCAGATTCCTAATCTAGAAGTGTTTCGATTTCTGTCCTTATCATGAGATATTAGCAAGAGGAAATGGTAATACTACTATATTCATTGGTACTTTATCTCCACCACTAATATTTTTCCTATTTATCTATAAGTCATTTATGTAATTTTCCTAATTTACAGACATTATATGTAAATATGGATAAAGTGTTGAAAAATGACTTTAAATACGTATCAATTTATGTAAATGCCATGGACGTAGTACTATTACGTACATCAACAATCAATACATTACCATGTACGTAGTAATATTCACAAAATATGGATAAAGTCATTTTCGGTAAATTCTCTATATTTACAAAAGTTGATATTCTTTTGAATCTTTTCCAAACTGTTAAAATAATTACTATTTTATATTAAGGCCGTGCAACGCACGGGCCACTACACTAGTATTCAATAAACTAATAAACACTACAAAATTTTAACCCATATGATATCTCCCTGAAAAACGACCTGAGGGTTCAGCCGAAGAAGTTGAGGCCTAAAAGCTCAAACTGTTTTTTTTGGAGCTATACATGATCTATCCGACTTAATTTGCTGTCTAAAGTAAAAAAAAAAAAATATAGTATAAAAGTAAATTAAATGGTCAAAAGATCCAAGGAAGATGTTACTTTGACCAGATTTTTGGATATTACTTTTGTAAACATTTTTGACGTAGATTGAGTAACTGCAAAACTAATAAATCACAAACGATCACTTAATAAATCACAAGTAGATTTTCAAGTAACTGCAACATTCTCCATATGACACGTGGCTTAAGTCCAAATCCTTTATCTTTCAGCTTTTTAAACAATTAAATTTTAAAAAAATGTCGAGAAAACTTTTTTCTTTTGGATACAACAGCAATCCCTTCTTCTCCCACGATCTCAAAATCAATCTCCACTTCTCAACAATATAACAACGACATGGCCCTTTCAGATCAATTCTCACCCTTCATCCACGATTTCTGAGATCAAAACCCAGAATTTTTTTTGGGCTTTCTTTTAGAAACTTCTTCTTAACTGAGATTTCTTAAATCTCTATTGTCTCTCTCTCTCTCACAGCCTCTGTCGTTTGATTTGTATCAAAGGTAACAACAATTTGTTCTTATTCTTCTTAATTTTTGAATTGATCTTCTCCTTCTGGATGAAAAGGTATTCTAAATTTACATCATTTCCATGTTGTCATCACAAACGATCACTTAATTTTATTAACAACTCTATGTGACAAGTTTTGCGTTTGAATTTGAAACAGGGAATTAGAATACAAGCTTCTGTAAAAGGAAAATTACTCTCAAAATTCCAGAAGGACTTAAAAGAAGGGGAATGTTGTGTTCTTATGAACTTTGAATTATGCCCATGATCTTGGAAAGTTTTGGAGTTGTGACCATCCTTACAAGATCAATTTCATATTCAACACACTTGTTAAACCAAGTGAGCAGATTCCTAATCTAGAA